TAATCATCACCATTGTCTCTAATCCAATAGAGGCTGGATGCTGTCAGTAATTATAATTTATAGCATTAACAGATATTTAGTATAAAATATTGTATTCCATTGAAACTCTTTAGGCAACATTTACTTAATGAATACAGTTAACCTCAATGAAGATGACATATGTCTGACAGAAGGAGGCCTTTCAGGAGCAGGCTGCATCTGTTGGGCCAGTGAATCCTTCCTCGCTTGGACTGGGGAAAGAGTGTGAGCAGTGGTTGCAGGTATGATGTTTTTCTGTCAACAGCATGTTCCTTCAGTACATTTCATGTTAACAGAGCGTGCACAGACTGACAGTACTGTGTAGGAGTGGTACTGTGTACAGTCATATGGCAGAGGTACAGCTCTCACATGCAGCTGTCATGACTAAACCCCAGCCAACAACTAAACACTGCACAGCCTCTTCTCACTCCCCACCCTCAACAGGATGAAGGTAAGAGAACTGGAAGGGTAAAAGTGAGAAAACACATGCGTTGAGATAAGAACAGTTTAATAACTGAAAAAACCCCAGTAACAATGTAATGAAAAGGAAAATAAAAAAGAGACATAAACCCCAGAAAGACAAGTGATGCAAATGAAAAGAATTGCTCACCACCAGCTGCCACATGCCATGCCAGTCCCTGAGCAGTGATCCCCCCCTCCCCAGACAACCTTCCCCCAGCTTTATATGCTGATCATGACACCATATGGTCTGGGATATCCCTTGGTTCAGTTGGGGTCAGCTACCCTGGCTGTGTCCCTCCCAACTCCTTATGCACCCCCAGCCCACTCCCTGCTGCGTGGGGTGAGGAGCAGAAAATGCCTTGATTCTGTGCAAACACTGAACTATCAGCACTATTTCCTCCATGAAACCAGATCAACCCCATACCAGCTATTGTGGAGAAAATGAACTCTGTCCCAGCCAAAACCAGTACACAAACAGATTAGTGTTATCTCCATCTTTGCTAAGAGCTAAGACCTCTCTGAGTTCCTTAGTGTGAGTTCTTCCATATGCTGTCATACTCAGGCTCACAGCTCACATGAAGAGATTATGGGTGTTTGCAAAGGTGGATTTCTAGCTGAATGTCTCTTTAAAAAGCGATACATCCTTGGAGAAGCAGAAAGTGAGGTCTTAAGGAAGTGTGTAGTCTATTAATAGAGGAGACCTTTCTCCCAGGCTAGATGAAGGATGTTTCTACTGATCTTGATGAAGACAGATACTTTTTTAGGGGTTTATTCTTTTGCCCTCTGTTCTTTTCCCCCCTATTCTTTCCCCTTCACCAAAATTTTAGTGAAATCAGTAGGAAATGTAATCTGCTTACTTAAAGACTCCTAGTTAGCGTATCCCAGCCAACCCTGAACTAGTGTGGGATTTGCTGCTCCAGCTGGATTCTGCTAAGTTTATGGTGCCTGATGGGATTCCTCCCAGGGTACTCAAAAAGATGGCTAATATCATCATGAGACCACTTTCAATGATTTTTTAACAGTCTTGAGAATCTGGAAAAGTCCCAGTTGTCTGGAAGCTGGCAAATATTGTCCCAGTTTTCAAAAAGGGCAAGAGGGATGGCCAAGGTAACTGCAGGCTTGTCATTCTCACATCAGTACTCGGTAAAATTACAGAGAAGATTATTCTGTAAGGTATTAAAAAAATACCTGAAGGACAATGCAGTCACTGATCACAGCCAGCATAGCTTCATGAGGGGAAAGTCCTGCTTATCAAACCTGATCTCCTTTTATGACAAGGTGTCCTAGTTAGAACAGCTGGGACCTGTTCCTCACTGTCTGGGTGTAACCCAAACTGTATATTTTACACACTCTGTGTCAACTGTTAACAATAGACCATTTACAGCAGCTGCCCAGAGCACACCTGACCCCTCAGGCTGTAATCTGGGTTTTAAGAGGCCTGTGAGATAGGAGGATGTTCCTGTCCTCACACCCACAACTCACAGTCACCCATTGTGGAAGGTACTGGGCATTCCTGACCAAACCTGAGTGTATATAATCTTGGGGTCCTGGGACTGCTGGTACCACTCGTGGGATCCAGAGGAGGACCAGAACCTGACTGGACTGTGACCACCACTCTCGACTGGACTGTGACCATCGCTCTTGACCAGACCGCAGCCACCACTTGCACCAACAGGTTTTTCCTCTCCTTTTACTTTTGGACTCAGGGGGACCACATGGGGCTCAGCTCAGGGACCAACTAACACCATTCTGTTCGTGCCCCAGGGTGCCGGGTTTTTGTGGATTAAAACCAATTGTTCGCTCTATAACTGTATTTATTGTATTATTTTTATTAAATTGTATTTCTGATTTATAATCTCTTTTGAGTTGGGTTCATTTCTCCTGCTAGTTTACCTTTAAACCAACACACAAGGTAATCCCAATAGTTGATCAAGGGAAGCCAACTGAGGTAATCCTTTTGGATTTCAGTATAGTTTTCGATCCAGTCTCTCACAATATCCATCTGGACAAAATGTTCAGCACACAATATAATAAACACGTCATGTGGTGGGTAAGCAAGTGGGCTCACAGGTCGAGCACAGAGGGTAATAGTGACTGGGGTGACATCAGACTGGTGACCTGTCACTAGTGGGGTTCCATGGGGCTCCATCTTAGGCCCTGTGCTCTTCACCATCTTCATAAATTACTTGGAAGCAGGACTGTATGGGACACTAAGTAAATCTGATGATGATACTAAACTGGGAGGAGCTGTTGACTACGTCGAAGACAGAGAGGCCCTGCAGAGGGACTTGACAAATGTGAGGGCTTAACAATCACCAACTGTGTGATTTTTGACAAGGGCAAGTGCCAGATTCTGCACTTGGGACAGGACAACTCAGGATGTACATACAGACTGGGAATGAAAGGCTGGAAAGGGCTCTGGGTGTCCTGGTTGATGGCAAGTTGAACATAAGTCAGCAGAGTGTTGTGGCAGCCAGGAACAGGCCAGTGCTGGAACAGGCTCCCCAGGGAAGCGGTCACAGTACCAAACCTGTCAGAGTTCAAGAAGCATATGGACAATTCTTTCAGGCACATGGTGTGATTTTTGAGTTTGACCTATCAGAAGATGAACAAGATGATCCTTGTGGGTCCCTTTCAGCTTAGGATATTCTATGATTCTATGATTGTCTCCTACCACCAAGGTGCTGAGGGATGTCTTGCCCAGTAGGCAGTACCTGTCCAGAGGCTGGCTGCTAACCTTCTGTTGGGCGTCTGCACGGAACTCCTTCAGGGCATGTCATGATTCCTTGAGACTAATCATTTCCCTCACCCCAACATTTTATTTAACAGTGTGATAACACAGTTTTATTCTGAAGCCTGCCAGTAGATACAACAAATACAATTTGCATGCAACATGCTGAGAGCTACCTAAAGGACAGAACTCCTTTTAGATATCATGTCTGTGTCTGACCCCCTCAGAGGATTTAAAGAGCAGAAAGAGCTTCTGAGGACACCAGCTCAGGAAGACTTTTGCCTTCTTCTATTTTTTTTTTTTTTTTTTAAGATGTCTTTTATTATTGTAATTGCTATCGCAATTACCACCTTTGAACGATGCAGTCCTGGCAGACTCACAAACCATCAGGTCACACTTCAGTTCTAGACTACAAAAGATACAGTATTGTTCTCATGTCTCTGATCTAGTCAGTGCTGCAACATTAACATGGACAAGCTGAAGATGTGACTGGCAAAGTGAAGGGTAAAGATGCAGATTGTCTAAAAGTAATTTTTTAATGTGAAAGTTCACAATAAATTGGGAAAACACTTGTAGTCCCAGACTGACACTGTCACTTTAATAAAATGTCTTGGTCTCTCACTTAGCCCTGGCTAAGTGCCTGACTGTCTTCATTTAAACTTTGGCCAACTAAACAACAGTTCTGGACCATAAAAGATCTACATGCAAGGCAGAGACATTTGCAAGTGGATTGGTTATTTTTTTTGTGGATTGCTTTATTTTGGTAAGCAAAACATATTTTGCAGTATGACCTACTGGGCTTATTTTCTACACTGACAGCTTTTTTAATCCACAATTTGCTTTTTGCATGCCTTCAAAGGTAAGAGACTTAGTTATTTCCATTCTCTGTTTAGAGGACTTCATGTAATATTTCTATGTATGTAGCTGCTTGATGCATTTTAGAAGAGAATTTAGGAAGGATATTTATATTTAATATGTTGTCTTTGTTATTAATGCTGTTTATAACTGATAATGTTATTTAAAACGAATTATTGTAAATTATGGGCCTTTTTTTGTAAATCAGTTTTAATGGAGTTTTGTCTAGAAATATGTTGAATTGCTGATTTAATATTTTAATTTTAATTTTATTAGTGTATATTGTGATTATAATATAATATTGTCTTTATGAAAAATATTGCACACATTCTATAACATCCATGTAATATTAATAATGCATAATTCATTACTAAGGCACTGTTTCTTAGAAGAATGAGTTGTTCATACTGATACTTCAGACCTAGGTGATACATCTGCATCCTAAAACACCCAGAAATTTGCTTATTCCTAATAATTAGAGATTTCAAGAAACAAATTGCATTCTGTATTTCTGCTAATTTAATATAATTATTTTAATATCAAAGTACATTGATCACAATATGCTTTAGTAACAATTTATTTTACCCTTCTGTTTTAGATATTCAAATGAAAGCTAAAGATAACACTGACTTTTTGTTAAGAATAAAAAGGCAGCACTGTGTTCTGCCCATATTTCTTCTCTAGTAAAACAGGTTCCAATATACGTGTGAGCCACAGTTGGGATAGTGCTGGCTGCTATGCTTAAATTATCTACACAGTGACTTTTTACAATTGTTTTTTATATGTTGTCTTTAGAATTATGCTTCCCACAGATGCATATTCTGTATGTTAAGTATCTGTATTTATTTATTTGCGTCTATTAATGAAGTATTCACAGATGGATTTTTACTTTTAACAGGAAGGACAAGTTGTCTAATTGGGGATGAAAGACACTATGCAGGAAAAACGCTTTTTCTTTTTCTTTTTACTTCTGGCTATGACAACAAACTGGATAGTAAATGGGCAAAACAGAAAGAAAGGAAAGAATACTTACTCTCCTGTTCAAAAAGATGAAGGTAAAACCATTTTCTTGAAATTTCTGATTGTCCATGTTGCATGTCTCCATGTATTTCAGGATAATTAGTCAGTAATTGACAACTTGTATGTGAATTTATGAAATATGTTTTATTTTGAATGTCAGACCTGCAGAATACTGTGTGACCTTTACTTGGACATGGATTCCAGTTTGATCAATGATTTTCATTGACACATATATCTCTTTTAAGAGTAATTGAAGAAGCCTACTTTTTAGTTTGAAATTGCATGTTGAAAATTGTATACAGAATCAATTAAAATACTAAACCAATCCCATCAAGACCCTAGCTTAAAAATTTTCATTAGAATTTCTTGGATTTTACCATGAAATTTACCCTCAGCATTTTTACTGGAAAGACAGAAAAATCCTTGGGAAAATGATTTGAGGATTGGTATTGTTGCAGAGAATTATCTGAAATCTGTTAAGCAGGTATTCCCATCACATAGATTTAACTTTCTTGTTCCATTACAGATGCTGTGTGTCTCATTGATATAGTCTTTATCTTCGACAGTTCAGAAAGTGCCAAAAATCAGTTGTTTGATTTACAGAAGAATTTTGTTCAAAACATAACTGACAGCCTTTTCCAGATGAAGCCAGTTAAGTCTCAGATCTATAATGTCAGACTGGCAGGTATGCAGTTCAGCAGCACAGTCAGTATTGATCATCCCTTTACAGCCTGGAAAAATGTCCAGAATTTTAAAGAGAAAATTAATTCTCTGGGCCTTATTGGCCATGGCACTTACTCCTATTATGCAGTTTCCAATGCCACTCAGATGTTTAAAACTGAAGGTCGTAAGAGAAGTGTGAAAGTGGCTTTTTTGATGACTGATGGTGTGGATCATCCAAACAGCCCTAATGTCCAGAGTATAGCCACAGCAGCTAGAAGTCTTGGAATACATTTTTTTACCATTGGCCTCTCTAAGAAAACAGTCCAAGAATTAAAATTGCGCACAATATCTGGTGATTCGTCCTCTAAACCTGTCTTGTGCCTGGATGATGAGAACCTGGTAGCTGATATTGCACTGGAACTGGTAAGTAATGCTGATGTTAATCTTGTCGTGTGTCTATCCATGGCAGATTTTCTTTAACTTTGATAAGTAAGCCCTGAAGACAGTTTTGTGGTGCCTTCTTTGCTACGTCAGAAATCAGGGCACAGGGAGCTTCCTTCTCCCAGCCACTCTCCAAGGAGTTGTGTGCTTGGACAACAATAGCTCAGCTGTACTGATCCCGTTTCCCAGACACACAGAGTGTGCCTCTGAGCATATGAAAATACTTTAGAAGGTAGCTCGTTCTAGCTCGTTCTCATATGTAAGGCTGATGAAATCACTGAGTCCTGCCCCTATATATTCTATTAGTAGGCCTTCCATGGTAAGGTCTTTCATTAGAAAGTCTTGTCATAGTCCCTGTGGTTAGCATTGTTCCTTATTACTGTTTGCTTACATCTCATGTGTTTTCAATCATTATGGGTCACATAACCCTCTATTCCTATCAAGAACTCTTTTTCATATGAGTAGTTTCACATACTGGTTTTTACCACTGAGAGGAAGGAATGAAGGATAAAGGCTCTATTTGTCATGAAAATTCTATAAACTAGAGAGGAAAAATTAGTACTCAAATTAAATCAAATCTGAATGAAAGTAATATTTTTATTTTATTTTATTTTCAGGAAGCCTTGCTACAGAAGCAGGTAGGTTTTTTGAGTTTTGTGTGGTTTGATTATTCCTATTTATACTAGATTTCCTGATGTCTGTTACTTCTGTAATGCACTGATGCTCAAGGATTAATCACCTTCTTTCTGTAAGTAAATTTTCTGACCATGGTTGGTTTTATTTTAATTTTTGTCCATTTCTTCCATCCCTTCTCCTGAGATATCTACATTTGTTCATTAGTGGGTATTATCAACAGTAAAATACCTACTTGAGTGGAATAGGGCCAGTACAACGCATGAAAATTCATTAGTGGTCTCATTAGAAAACAATAGCTGTCTTAAACAGCATAACATTGTAGTTACTAGAGTAACTTATTTTTGTTATAAATAAATCAAGAAACTGATTTTGATTGTGCTATATGGAAGTTTAATATTGATTATATGAGAAATCAATATATTAGAACATAATTTATTTCCTGTTATCCCACTTTCATGTTCTCTAGTCTGTGGTTGGGCAAAACAAGAATGTTTGCTTTAAAGTTTTGCAATAATACATTCAAAAAACATTCTCCTTTATGTTTCTATTAACCTTGTAGTGTGTGCGGAAGAACTGTGAGTGTGAAAAGGGAGTAAAAGGAGACAAAGGTGACTCTGTAAGTACTCATTCATTTGAAAAGGCTTCAGAATATGAATTCTAATCAAGATCAATATTACTCAGTATTTTAGTTGGTTACTATGTCAACTATGTAAAAAGCAAGACATTAGCTGTGCATGTAATGCAAAAAGATTGATTTGTATTGTAGCGTATCACTGTGAAAGGCCACTATTAAAAGAGCTCAGGAAAAAAACCTCTATCCACAATCAGATACTACTATCTTGAAAGTGTATTTATATTATTGGGTAATAAAACACTGTGGATAAATAGGTACATGATTTTGGAGCCCAAATAAAAAAGAATCTGCAATGGGGAAGGCAAGGTCCATTAGACAAAGGTTTACTTCTGTCAGAAAGTTCTATTTGTGTAAGGGGTAAAGGTTCAAAATTTGAGGGTGATGGGCTGCAGAGGAAAGGTCTGATATGACACTTAAACACGTAGCTATTTCTTGGCTCTGGTAAGGAAAAGTGTGAGTTCAGACAGTGAGTGACCTCTCTGATCCATTTTATGTCTTTGATAGCTTTCCCAGAGACAACCAAAGTACATTCAGAGGTTTTTGCCTTTTTCCCTAGACTGGTCAACCATATCTATAGCAGGTTAAGGCACCAGGGCCTATCATTCAGTCCCCTGGTTCTAGATGATGTGCATCGAGATAATTTGCATTTGAACTAAAACCTCTGTTTGCAATTTTAAATTTTAGGGTTTTCAATGTGATTTTATGCAAAATTGTTAGATGAAACCTATTATATATATGTGTATATACAAACTCTCTAGTCCCCATCTTCATGATCCTCCAAAGAGTAATAATGGTGCAGTAATTTTTTCCTGAGGGATGTTCAGTATTTACACTAAACTCTTCTGTACTCAGGTTTTTTCTATGCAGAGATCAGATAGTGAGTAACTGAGATCAGATAGTGGTGGGTAACTGAGAAATGGGAAGGAGGAACTCTGCATGTTTTCTGTAATGCCTTCCCCACTAGATTTTTCAGATGCTCTGTGGAAAATTTATTTATGATTGAATGTTAAAAAAAATTTGCAGATACTTTATAATACCAGAGTGATTTTAGCTAAATGAATGTTTTGTCATGTGTACCATACTTTAATCAGTGTGGGTTTCTATCTATGCTTATTACAGAATGATTTTGGAACAAGAATAATTTTGGGACTAAGATAAAGTCTTAGAGTATCTGTGGAATTTTATCTTCATAATGGTAATAACTTTTTTCTTCTTTGTTTCAGGGCAGTGGTAGCAAAGGGGAAAAAGGTGAGCCAGGACCAAAAGGAAACAAGGTAATGTGAATTTAAAAAAATAAAGCAAATTTCTATCTAGTTATGAAGATCACAGAAGTGAATATAGCAAAGGAAAAGTATTTTAAAATAGAATTTATATATTGACTTCTGCTATGAAAGCTTTAGAGTTAGCTACTTTAAAAGTGTGAGAGAAAAATTTAAAACTAAACTGCTACAAGTTAACACTGTCTGTCATTCCGGTTTTTCTCTGATAGCAGAGGTGTCTGAATATAGCTGAAAGCGCTTTAAGTTCCACAGAGCTTTCTAACATTTCACAGACCTCTTGATCAGAGTGACCTGCCCTAATGACTAAGATTTCAGTCACCTAATGACAATAGTTGAGTTTTCTGTGTTAATCTTCAGGAATTGTGTGTCCTTGGTTGTGAAAGGAGGAAGTATGAATGCTAGTAAATAGGGAAAAGCCACTTCTGCTCCTTAAATTGTGTTCTTGGTTTTAGTGTAGCAGGAATAAATGAAAGGGCAATACATATTTCAGTTGTATTTCTTTGCATCCAATAGGGCGATACTCAAAAAGGAGATCCTGGAGAAAAAGGTGAAGAGGTATGTGGCTACTGGAGTGCTAACTCATATTTGGTCTTTTTGGATTTTCTGAACCAAAAATGTGGTTTTCATTTTTCATGTTTCTACTTAATTCAAGTATTTAAAGCACCTAAACTAAACTCTGGTGTAGAGAAGCATCTATACTGAGAGACGCCATCTAACCATGTGCTATGGTATAGAGATGGGGTGCTGACAGAGGAACTTTTGAATCCATGTGATTTTGTATTGACTTGCAATAGGCTTATCCCAAAGGCAGAACTGAAAATGTCATCACTAAAAACATCTAGGTAGTCCTCCAGTGACTTCTAATATTTTTGAGCCTGAATTCATGTTGATTCACTGGAGAAAGACTAACTCTACTGCCTGTATAAGATTAGTTCAGTTTAAAAGTCTCATTTAAATGGCAGCATATATCTACCAAGAGGCTGGCAAGCTGAGTGGCATATTTACAGCTAATACATGAGTAAAAAATGCACATCCAGATTTGTAGAGAATTATATGTTAAATAGTTCCAGAGAGATATTTTATTGTTGTAAATAGTTAAACTTCTGAAACACAATTCTTCACTATGGGAATTGTTTTTTTTACTACTTAAATTAGCTGCACATTAGACCTTTGCTTTCTCTTTTATGATTTTTTTTCTTGTTTTTTTCCTTAATTTTTTATTAGGGAGCTCATGGCTTCAAAGGAGATAAGGTAAGTTTTTTGTAGAATAGAAGTAGTCTGAAAAGAAATTGCCACTTGCTGACAGTGTATGTGAAAGAATGGAAAGAAAAGCTTGTCTTGGCTTTTTGACATGAGAGCTCCTAATGCAGTCCCTAGAAGTAAATTCATAATTTGTGTAAATGCTTACAGTCTGGATTGTGGGAAATAAAAAAAGTTAAAAGAAAAAAGAAAAAAGAAAATCAGAAAATGTAATTTAAGCATAAAAATAAAAGTGTCAACCACCAGAAATATCGTTTCTGGAAGGAAAAGAAAATTGAGGGTTAAATAAGAGGTTAAGTAAAAAGAATGTGAAATTGTTTACTATAAACACAATGTGGCAATCATTAGTTGTCAAAAAGCTTACCACAGGGAAGTTTACTTTTAAACTAATTATAACTTGTAAGGGCTAATGCTTGATCAAAAAAATTCTCAAGATAGGCTCTCCAAGAAGTTTGAAAAATTATACACTTCAATGACTTACAAGATTCTAAAGCCAAAAGTTACACTGCAAACTGGAACATCATAGCCAGAAATGGAACAGAAATAATCCCATTTTGACTTTACTTGGTTTGGACACTTATCTCTCTGCACTGTTAGTAAAAGCAGTACCTCTCTTTGTATTCATTAGAAAAATTAATATGGAAACATTTCTTGTAAATGGGAAGAGTGGACTCGTATGTCTACTTTCCATGTGTCTATTGATATGTTAAATCATCAGTGTAACACATTAGTTATTCTCTTTCTTCATTCCATTTGGACAATCTCACAACTGCTCTTCAGAAAAATCTCAGACATCAGAGAAATGAAATCAGAGCATAGAGAGAATCTCTGGAGGCTGTGCAGTGAGGTAGAAAAACACAGCAAAACTTATTAGATATTAAATGAATTATCATCTTATGATATAGGTTGGGCATTTTGTTGGCATTCTCAGAGAGAAATACATTTATCTTGAGTAGAACAGAGTATATCTTCTACAGACCATATCTGGTGATGCCAATTCCAGGTCCTCAGAATCTACTAACCCTCTATTGCTGCAGTGTAATCACACAACTTGTTTAGCTGTGAATCTTTCGATTTCTTATAAAGGGTGACAGAGGAGAGTGTGGAACCCCAGGAATAAAAGGAGAAAGAGTAAGTATAATTTTTATTTTAACTGCTTTGTGTTGATTAAGATAGCAGAAAATCTTGTAACATATTCAGAAACATAGCTAGAAAAGATTATTGTAAATTTGGAGCACCTTATCATTCCTTGGTGTTAGAGATACATCATAGCAGAAATATGATTCATAGAAACTCATCCCACAGTTCACCAATATTCTTTTTTTTTCATTTTGCAGAAGAAATGCAGACCCTTACCTAAAACAAAAGTTGTCTTGACCAGTGCTAAGCCCTGCTTACATAGGACTGAGCATTTTACAGAGAGCACCAGATTTATTTCCTTAAAATTTTAATTGCAGTTTGAGTGTATAAAGTCATATTACAATAGAAGCAGGTTCTTACCCACCATGAACAACTTTCAGGTTTACCAGCCCATCTGTGTTGATATGCATTCACCCCAGTGTTGATATGCATTCACATCTATCCAGTCCTCTTCTTTCAACCTGAAGTGCAGAAGTGTTGTGGATGAATATAGATTTTTAGCTGGTTTTTTTACATTCTGAAAGATGGAAGGAAAAGTGTGCTTCTGAGTGAGATCATCATGTATCTTGAGTTTATATAAGCAGATTTGTATGAGTACTGTAAACCACCAATTTATTGTTAGAATTAAGTACTACCAACTAGATCGCACTTATCATTCTATTAGAGCACATTTCTCCAGTTTATCATCTTATACTTACCTTTATCAAAGAGCACCCTGGAAAGTTTTTGTTTATTGGAAGCTGTTATTTGATGATTAATTTCAGGAAGGAATTAGGAAATATTCATACAAGAAGTATTTGTTGCAAAGAAAGAAGGGTATTATACTATAATTAAAATCTAAAGGCTGAGAATATCTTGTGAGATACTGGGGTTCAAAACAGCAGCAAGTGACTCAGAAAAGTCTGAAATACCAATGAAAAAAGGAGGAAGTTGTGTCTCTCAGAGGAATAAAGAAAGATCATAACTTCTTTATCCAGTCAAAATGTGAGAAATAGCATGAGGTTATGTGAAATGTCTACTAAGTCAAAAGGAAACAGTTCAGAAACTGGCAGAGAACAAAATCAAAGCAGCCGAGAAATCTGAATGGAGAAAACATATGTCAGGGCTGCCAGAAATCTGCTTGCTTTGTTTCTGTTAAGGACAATGATGAAAAAAATTTTTTATCTACTGAACCTCTACAGAGATTATAATAGATTATGCAATTCAAGAACTTAGTGAACAAATAAAAATTATGGTCTCTTCCAGAATATCCATCTTCACATTTACAAATCCAGAGGATTAAACAGTTATGTATTTTTTTAAATTTAAGGAGGACACATATGGCCAAAAGTATGAGAAATTCAATATTCTAAAGGTGGATCTTTAACTGGAGTGATGGATATTGAAGTGTAATTGCAAGTAATGGTTCCTGATTTGAGAAAACACTGCATTTTCCACTTTCTCAGCTCACTCATCAGACTGAATCCAATACAGGATCTGGTGCTTTGAATCAGAGTTTTTTTCAAATGTTGTTCAGGCTTAAAATTCACACAGGTTCTGTTTGGCTTTTAAATCAAAACTGACTCAAGTCATACATTTATACGCTACCCAAAGCAGCGACAATTGCATCACTGTATCATCGTTTGTGCCTTCCACTGCTTGTTGAGCTGGAAATGGGCTGGGACTGAGGGGGTTATCATTCTCTCTGGCAGCTGATGCTTTGCCTGGGAGCAAATGCCGGGGAGTAGAGAATAGTTTAACAATTCTGACTGAATCTGTAGGAGAGGGTGGTCGATGGAGTGTGGCTATGTAGGTATCACTGCTAAATTCATCAAGGCTATTAGAAGTTTAGAACATGACACATGCCTTGAAAAATGCAGCAACCTGCCAGTGCCTCTGTGTGGAGATGTTGCTAATTAAAAGAAAAGTAAGAGAAAGAAAAGACCAGATTAACTATTTGCTGAAAGCTATTTTTGCTTTAGAAATAAATTATAACTTAGTTTTGACTCCAATGGAATTGAAATTCTGTAGAATATCCATTATGGTGACTAAAGGAAAATACGGCACAGCACAAAGGTTTGTGAACAATCTACAGTGGTGGCGGCTGGTAAGAGCTCATTAAATGGAGAAATGACAGCTAATGGAAGAAAAAAGAATGGCATTTTACATTTTTTGGATGCATTTTTAATGGATTTTGTGAATTATTAGTGTGATTCTGCAGTTTGAGTTAGTGAAGCAAAGTTACCTGAAGTTATTCTGGTATAAACACAGCAGCATTTTTAGTAGGAATTCTGTATCTATTACGCTTTAAATACCTGGTATTTAAATGAAATAACAACTTGCCAATCAAATAGCTAAGATGTTGAATAACTATTCACAATGTTTGTTGTATACGAAAAATATTTTAACCCTAGAAAATGCTTGAGCAGAGATATGAGTCATTACATGTACACTGCAGTTCTTGACACTTTATAACATATAATTGCAATTTCCTTTTAATCCAAATCTTATTTTTCCTCAGGGTTTGGAAGGTCCTTCAGGCCCTAGGGGACTTCGGGGACCTCAGGTAAGGGAACTAACAGCTACCAAGTAAAAAGAAACCCATTATATTCTATAAGTCTTTTCTACATACAACCTGTCAACTCTGTGGGGAGGAAGATTGCTGTGGAGAGCTGTCAACTCTGTGGAGAGCTGCCAAGGCAGCAGAGCCTGACAAATAATCATCTTGCCCTTTTTGCCAACACTGGTTGTTGAATGGTAACAGTATTTAATATGTTTGGCATTTCACAGGATATGATGCAGAACACTCTTGTCCTTTAGAAATTAGAATTGTGCTATATTATACCTGTACCCTGTTTCAGGCAAAATTAAAAGGAAACTTTATATGGGTCTTCAAAAGCAGCTCATTCTTTACTATGACCTCTGTGTAGGGTATCAGTGGACCTCCAGGCGAGCCAGGCCCTAAAGGCATTCAAGGAAGAAAGGTAAGATGTAGTTGTATATGAGTAGTTGCGTATGCTATTTATGTAGGGAAAGAGGATGCAGAAACTCTGTAGAATCTTTATACTCTACTGTCAGGTTTTTTATTTGTGGTGTTATTTGCACAGCAATAATGTGCCCCACCTGCTTGGTGCTGCACAGTGTCATCATGTGATGAAGGCTTGTTACTGTTGGCACATACAACCAGTTCTCCATCTGGGTCTCCAAGAATATCTTGTAGGGCCATGATAAGGTGCAATCAAGTTCCTGCCTAGAGCCACAGCACTTGGGTTGGAATTTCACTCACCTCAATATGTGTCTTGACTTCTTCAAGAAGTCAGTCGGGAAGTTTTTTCCTAGAATATTTTTGCCTATAATGCCTTGTGTTTAAAGATTTAAAGTAATTGTAGATGATGGTTAAAAACTTCAGATTGAGTATTTATAGTAATTTTTAGTTGCTTGAGTACTGTAAAAACTCAAGATAACTTTGAAATTGGTAGAAGTGAAAAATTTTATGACAATTAATACCTTACTTACATTTAAAATAGATAATTTAGAGTTAAAGACTACAGCTTGTCAAGCAAAATCAGTTGGATAAAGTATCTGAATAATTTACGCAGTCTTTTGATTTGCAAACCTTTGGAAAACTGCTTTATATGAATACAATTGTCTTGCCCATGGTACCACTGTTAACATCATTGTTCGGTATAGAAAGATATTTCATTTATTAATTTGATACAAAGACTTTCTACCACAGGATTATTGATGGCCTGGTTAACACAGTCTAAGTTATACAGGGCAACTGAATTCATGTAAAGCTGTTTGTCAAAGATGCAATATATAAATACTTATGTTTTGTTTCTTAGGCAACAGTTTCATTTAAAGATTCATGGAAATAAATTTAGTTATGGGAAATGTTTATTGTAAAAAGTTTGGAATACTGCCATCCATCATGATTTTCCCCTTCCTGACAAATGCTTTTTCATACTTCTCATTTCTTCATCTTCTCAACAAAATTCTTGATTAGCAAAGCTACTACGGAATATTTCAGAAGTGGAAAAAGAAAGAGGATGATGAATCTGAAAGAAACTATTCATACAAGTGGTGGAAAAGTCATGTTGTACTTTAACTTCAGCACAGCAGATTACAGTAATTTTTTATCTGTCATTTCACAATGATAGTACTACCAGATACATTTATTATGTACTAAACTGTATTTGTTGAATGTTATTTGTCCTCCTGTCAGTCTCTTCACACATTTTCACTTCTGTAAAATACATGCAGCTCTCTCTAGAATCCGTCTACCTGGATACAATATTTATGGTCTCTTTTTAGGCCTTAGCTGCAGATTTTCAGTGAGAATAGCAAGATTCTTTTTTTTTTTTCAGCTTTCAACTCCACAACACATTGTTTGAAGTCTGTAGTCAAGGTTTTTCCATGCTCAAACATCTATCATAATAAAAATATTACCAGAGAAGTTTAATTAATACCCTTAGATAATTATCATAGAATCATAGAATCATAGAATTAACTGGGTTGGAAGAGACCTCCGACATCATCAAGTCAATTATACTTAGATAATTATACCTAAAAAGTATAGCAGAAACATATGTATGTTTAAACGTTATCTCTTGTCCATACCTACTGCCAAAACTAATCTTTGGCATTTTGGAGCTTATTTGAGATGAGTGAAAAATTTTTTAGTTATCAGTACAGATAATCAGTGATTGTTTACAGCTTAATAAACACCCATTCAGCTAGTAAAGGTCAAGGCCTCTTTTGGTTCAGACACATACCAGTTTTTCCAATATATTTTACCCTTACAGTAGGACTATTCAATTGCTCTTTTAAAATTAGTTTTCATGATACATAACACAATATCTCTGAAAAGTGGCAGTTATTTATAACTGCCTTGGATAAAATAAATGTCTATTCTTACTGCAGTTGCTTATGCCCATGGCCTTTCCATGCTAATACTTTCTGCTTTTTGATCTGAACTATTGACTTCATCTTGGTGGCATTGGTACTGCTGTGACATAACACAGGACACCGCTGATGAGCTTTTATTCTTTGTTACTCAACCATGTAGAGGTTTGAAAGAGGAGATTCTGTTCCTCAAAATATAAACTCCAGATCAAGCTCATCCTACAGATGGTTTGGGTTTCATTTGTGAAGGGCACAGTTCACTCATGTATCTGGCCAGCTCAGCCCATCCCATGTGTCTATAAGGCAGAGTATGGGTATGAGTCCCTCCTCTCACAGTGTCAGGCAGCAGGCACAGCTGGGGACAGTGCCATCTGTGTGCTGCCTGGGTGCTGCTGGCTCTGGCACCCACCAGCAGGAGAGGGCTGGTGGCATTTCACCTTCACCTAGTTCAATTTGACTTGCCTTGAAGCAAGGTGGCATGGAGTCCAGAAACATTGTCCAAGAAATTACTTAAAAGAACTTTTCATACTTCCTTTATTCATATGTATTTTCTTATTCTCTCTTAAGCTGCTGGCTAATCTCTCAATGGGAAGTTTCACTGGCTGCATAAGACTTCCATCCCTTCTTAAAATCCATTGCTGTTGTAAGGAGCCTCTCCGGAAAATTTAATTCGCATAGTAAGACTCTCAACTAGAGGCTAAAGTTGTATGAATAGGCATGTATTCAAACTTATAAGGAAAAGGTTAAGTTTGAATGTGGGTATTCAAAGCATTTATTTCCATAAAAGCATCTTGGCATAATCCTGTGAAAAATCCGTTATTGCGTATTTCCCTAAACACATGTCCCAGAATGAACAGCTGAGGGATGCTACTTCTTCTCTGATGACTTATGAATTCTTTCCTTACTTATGTAGCAAGTTACATCTTTCCCAGGAGACTGAAAAATCCAGTTTTCTTGTAAACAAGTTTAGTTCCTAGATATCTCAACTAAATTAGAAATACAAAATATCAATAATATTTTTAAAAATATCTATATCTACTTGCATTGTTGTTGCCAATGTTTATTTTAAAGATAAAATCATTAGATTTAAAAGATATTTTTTTACCATAGTTTAATCATTATCACATTATAGACTGAAATACGGGGTGCTCCTTAAAATACATGTGGGCTTCCTGAAAAGTGAAGAAGTTATTTATATTGGCACTAACTGGTACTCATCCTAACATAATGAACTATTTGGGATGGGGGTGTGTTTTTTGGGGGTTAGGCTGTTAAGTATGTCCCAAGCTTAAAAGGGTACAATTTTAATATATAAAAACATTACACTCATATCAAGGGTAATTTTCCTTCCCATTGCTCTAGATGATATTAGATGCCACCTGAAGGAAAAACCCAATAGGAAGAGAAAAAAGAATGTTAAAGAAAGTGCTAAAGAAAGTTATTTTAAAAAGCTATTCTGAAAAACAGCCTTTTCCCCTCTACATGTAGAGATAATTATATTATTGCCAGAACTTTATGGTTTTAGTAAATTCCACATTACCTGTAGCACCAAGAACGTAGAAGATAAAAGCCAGATTTACTAATAACCATATGAAGTTTTAAATATACAGTCTTTAAAATAGTCTTTTATCTTTCCTGATGCATATTAAAGAATGGCTTTATAACATTATTTTCTATCTCAGCAACTTGTAGGCCAGAATACTGACCTTGCTTCTAATCTAAACATACATCTTCAGGACAGGTTTTGATCTTGTTTGTTTGTTTGTGTTTGTTTTTTTACTTTGAAAATTTATTTCTATAGCCCTAAATGAGGCTTTGGAAAGACACTCTGGCAGAATTTGATTAAGGTTCCATTCGCATTAAGAGTTTCTTGCTGGTTTTTTCTTTAGGGAGAACAAGGCCCTCCAGGTCCCTCTGGTCCTCCAGGACTCCTTGGCATTGGAGAACCAGGACCCAAGGTACTCTCTGCAATATGTTTGTAAAGTGCTAACTGTGGGAAGTAATTTTTTTGGATGGAAGTTTCCACCTGCTGTTTTATCAAAATTGTACTCTTATCATCTGAATGTAAAAGTGATTGACAAGTTTTTGTATTCACCTAGGATGGAGATAAGAGACCTGCTTTTCCAACAACTCCTAAATTTTATGATGATCCTATTGATAGAAATCATAAATAATGCCATTTAAATGGAGGCTAACTATGTGATATCATTTAAAAGCACTAACACATGCTTGTACTAAAGAGTAAACCGTACTTCAAGGTATGAAAGTACATCTCAGTCACTATGACAGTCAAGTGACAGGTTTGCCTTGTCATTCAGGAGGGAAGAGATATTCTTATGGGTTATAAGATTCTCTTTCTCATGCAACATTTCATTCCTCCATCTCATTTTATTGCAAAAGACTAGACAGTGGGATCTGGTCTTGCAAATTTAGAAGTCATGTCTGCCTATGCTGGCCAGCCAGATCTCCTTTTGGAAAACTACAAAAGCATCTGCGTGGGAAACGTGACTACTTACTTTATGGGAGTTTTGTCAGAGACCTACATCTCAGACTCAGACAAGAAATGAAAATTGGGTAGAACTAAACCTAAATATAGTTCTTCTGGCTGCTGAGTCTCTGCTGTAGCTTTATGCCATTTCCCAGTTTTTTGAAGCCAAGTGCCACTGTTTAATATACTTGTACTTTTTTACTTTTACTGCTCTAATTTGTACATTCATTGAACTCCTGTATATTTTCTGTGCAGTGGGGCAGATCCCAGGACATAGAGAAGGTTTACAGTAGCTCAGAAACGAGTATTATGCTGTGTAAAACTAACAACACTGGGACCTTCCAGAAGTACAAATAGTTTGTGGAAAAAGAATGTCATGCCCACTGTTTTTACTACTTTGGAGAGAGATAAAAATCCTCTGTGCTCTTATCCTTGAAGCACATAGTCCTCAGAACTAACTGGAGGAATTGTGAAGACTGTGAAACCTTATAAATAGAAGATACATAAACTAAACAGTTCCTGGAGTTTCCATACAATCCAGTATTCCACTGAAACAGGCTTCAGTTCCAGTACCTAGACAGAGACTATGGGGAGGATTCCTCACGCCTGATCACTCCTGCTTCACGATTGAGTTGTACTGCACCCAAATTTAGTCTAACTTAACTCCCTGATTCCCGTCATCTCTTAGACCACACTTTTAAGCAGTTAACCCTATGTCATGAGAGCTGGAATGCAATCTAGTGCTCCAAGTATTAACTGAAAAGTACTTTCAAATGTTTATAAAATGTCATTTATGGTTTTTCTTTTCTTTAGAAGTTACACATTTGATTTCAGATCTCTCTGCTGACACCATAAGACATCTATATGAAAATTTTATGCTCCTCAAAAGTATCAAGTTGAATTAGGACTGAACTTTCTAATTGTCTTTTTCCCAAGGGCGCTCCAGGTCAAGAAGGTAAAATTGGATTGCCAGGACCTCCTGGAATTGGTGAGCCAGGATTACCTGTAAGTCAGTGACATATGCATTCGAAGTTGAAATATAATAAGTCTTACTGAGTGTAATTGACAGTAGCTATATTGGCTACCACCTTGTACCTAGTCTGAAGCAGCAGAAGCAGGTTCAGCTATGACAGCCCAGTATTGCAGCAATAGTTGTGTCTTGCCTAAGTTGGAGAATAAAACCACATACAAACGAATTTTTGGGAAATAAAAATATTACTTGGTCCATGTGAACAAAATTACAGTGCCCAGTTTTCCTATATATGCAATATACTCCTACTTGTTTGAGTTGAGGATAATCTTTAAAAGTTGCCTAAAATAAATTTTAGGAAGATGAAAATGCAAAAGCTGAAACATCCCTCAATCTCTGTGAGTAATTTGGATCGCATCAAAAACAAAGCCCCAAATTACATGTTTTTGTGTTCTGAATTATGGAACTTTGGCAAGCTCTTGATTTAGTGCTCACTGGCTGCTTTTTCTTCCTGAAGCATATGACGTGGGGTTTTCTTGTGTATAAGAAGCTACAAATGTGGATGGGCACTAGAGTCATTCTAATGGTATTTTTGAAAGTCACTTAGTGGTTGTGAAAGGCTTTTCCCCAGAAAAGTATGTGGAAAACTTTTGTATAATCAAGACCATCCTTAAAAACTATTAAACTATTTAATAGCTTTAAACAAGGAAAGTAGCTGAATTTTGAAGAAAAGAAAGTATTCTGAAAATAATTGTTTCTGATCTTGCTTAAGACAAAACTAACATTCTTTAATGTTGTATGTTTAACCTGATATTTTGTGTGAAAAAAAATTTGAATTGATGATTTTTGTTATGAAATTCATGAAATTAATCAATTATAGGGAATACATTTCCCTGGGGTAAATGCATTTATTATAAATAAATCTACAGGTTCATTTGAGTTTTAAGAGTACAATCTTTAGACATTAAATATGTAATTCACACCAATTCATCTTGGCTTGTTCTAATCTAAATCACCCAATTAACAGTTGCTACACTTCATTTTAATTGGCTGGGCTCAGACAGATGTTATGGAAGCATTTTTACTTATCAGAGTCACAAGTGTTACAAGAACCTATACTAGCAAGTTAGACAAAACGTGTCATAAAAAATTGAATTGCTAATGTAATTTGAGTATATTTTTTCTTTTCTTTCAGGGACCACCAGGCCCCATTGGTTTACCAGGTGAGAGAGGTCTGCCAGGAGAGGGCATTCAAGGCCAAAAGGTAGTTTTATGGAAGTTACTTTAACATTGTGGACCAAATTTACAGTACTAAGTTATTTAAGACCACCGATAATTCCGTTGCTATAAAATGTCGGGTGATGGGTCTTGGTTTTCTGAATCACTGTGCTCTCTGAATATCCCTCTGAGTCCAGAAACTCTGTCAAGGGAATTACAAAAATACTTGTACAGTCCCTCTATCAGTAGTAAGTTAATGAGTCTCTTATTTGTGTGTTTAATAAGATAACTTATTTTGGCAGCATAATGAGATAAATTGTCTCTTGAAAAATTATGAAGCTATTTGTGTTCTGTACTGGAAGAAAATGTTCAGCAACTCTTTTCAGTCTGCCTTACCATTTTGGGAAACTGAAAGTTGGGTTGTATGAGTCTCCATGGACTTTTATCTCATTAGGAGAGTTTGCTAGGTTAATATATGTCAACTTTCCTTTTTTAAAAAAAATAAGTACAAACAAGCAAACATTTATGATTAAATCACAACTGGGCTTCCCATCAAAAAGCATCCCTCTTTCTCCAGTGGCTTCAGGACTCTCTAGAGCCTTGAACTACTAAGGAAAAAGATTTTCCTTCCTTTTATGGAAAAGACATTAGTCATGTCATTGAAGCAGATTCTGAACTGATCTCTCTGACTAATGAACATATTATTGCATTTTCAAAATGTAGCTTCCTTCTTCCTAATATTTAATTTTCTGCTTTTGAAGTCCTGTGTTCAACAACACAATGAATGCAGGTCAAGCATGATATGAGTTGTAACTGCTTTTCTCTAATACTGATAATTCCACTGACTATTTTGTCAGTTTGTTTGTGAAGGAATAATTTTTTCCTCGTTAACCACATTCTGATGACCAGTTTGTCTAGGATGGTGTTCTTTATAAATTCCCAAATACAGTTTCAAAACTGTCCCATAATTCCAGGGTGAAAAAGGATCTGAAGGTGTAGCTGGTCCTCGTGGACTGAAAGGTGAACCAGTCAAAGGTGACAAGGTGAGGCACAGAATATTTTTCTGATTGTATCTATAGTTAATTATATTTATAATTTAATAATGAATTTTTCACACAATATCAGAACAATACCTGAATGTGAGGAATTATGCTACACCATTCCCTGCAGCTCCATAGGCTGCATTTATCTATACAAATAGATGAGCCTGTTAATGTTAACTGAGAGCACTAAGGACTGTATTCTATGCAGCTGGAAGTATGAGACAGAAATGTATTTCTTTCCTCCTAAAATTATTTCAGAAATATTCTACTTATAATATTTTAAATTTTATAAAAATATTTTTTAAAATGTAAAAATCCTTATAAGTCATCTAAGCTAATGGACCTGGAACAACAAAGAAACACTCTGGCTTTTGATATTTTTTGATTAGTTTTTTGATACACAGTCACCCACAGAGGGATCCAGAACAATTTTAATTCCACTGGTATGATGAGATTCCAGCCTGTATCTTGTGCATCTGCTGAGAGTAGCTGAAGCATCACGCCTTGATGCCCTACAGAGCAGAAGCAGTGGTTCCAGATCTTCCTTCTCACCATTAAGTGCCATATCCCTCCTCTTATTCTCTGTTGTTTTCCTTCCCTCCTGTCCCCACAACTGCTGCTGTCCTCATTGTCCCACACTCAGCTTCCATGAGAGGAGTGGACAGGAGTGCTTTGTGAATGTAAACACTGTCCAGTCAAATGGCTCTCCAAAGTATTCAGAGCAGCCGAGGTGGTGTGGTCTGATTTGGCCTGTCTGTGAGAGAAGTACTTGGTGAGCACGTGCCAGACCATCTTGCTTGAGGCCTTAGAGGACAGGTTGGTTATCTGCACAGGAATGAGTCATCTAATTCCTGTGTCTGTGTAGGAAAAAATGCAGCCATGGAGCAGAACAGTAAGCGATTGGGACTGTTTCAGTAAATAAAAGTTTCTGGCATAAATAAAACTAATTGTATTTTGTTTTCTAGGGACTGATGTCACACATCCTTGACTTTTTTATGTGTCTGTGCCACTTTGAGTACCTACATGGCCTCCCCCTATTCCTCTATTCCCATAACTCCCTCTGCCACAATTCCTCTGTCTCTTCCCCAGATGCTGTACCATTACAATACCACATGACAAAGATTTTTCAAAAATACTCTGTAGCTACTCTGTTTACACTTGCCAGTTTTTCTTCTGAGTGTTGTGCAAGAAACTGTGTATGTTTCTGTACAAGAAGATCTTTAATCTCAGTATGTAAACATAAACTATAGATCCTTCTAATAATAAACTTAGAGGTGTAATCATCTAATGTTATAAATGAGAGTTTGTAGGGAAAAAGAGGTATTATTTTTGTTAGATTGGTTGTCATAGGCAGACTTCCAGGTATTTCAGACACATTAAATTCAAATAGAAGCAGGCAACTTCAAGATAATGCAGCTTGAGGACTGCTGTTCTGTATTTAGTTGAAATATGTTAATCAGTTAGCATGGACTATGGCAATTCACTTCTTGGGAATACTTTTTCTACAGGGTGAACAAGGCCAAGTAGGACCACAGGGCCCACCAGGACCACCAGGAATAGGCAATCCAGGAATCCGGGTAAGTCTCCGTTTTGGACATGTAATGAGTATTTGCATATAGTTTTCATTTCATACTTTATCAGAGTTCTAATTTTGATGTAAAGACATTAAAAATCTCATACTTATTATTCATTTTAGAAAGTATCAAACTGTAGCCTTTAGGCAAAGCTTGTAAACACAACTTATTTCAACTGATCTGAACGGTCTTAGAATCAAGCAAATGTAAATTTTGTCTTATCTGCGTAATAATTTGCATAGGAGGTAAATCAGGTGCATTGTTCTGATGGGGATATATAACAGAGAAGAGTTTCACAAGGGTAAGAATCCACCACTTCTAAATTTCAAGCCCTTTGAAACTTGAACACAGCCTTTAGAAGTTGGATAAAGAAAAACTGAAACATCCCAAAAGATCTTTTGAGTTTTGTTAATTTTGGAGAAAGAGTTCATGCTTCCACCATAGCAGCCCATGGAATCAGGACTTGGGTGCAGATACTGAAACATTTCCCATTTGTTTTCTCCATGAAAGGTAATTGTCTTTACACTGGATACATCAGTGAAATCCATAGGATAGTGGCAAAGTAAAAATGAAATGTAGATCCCTAAACTAAGCCTGAGGACAAGGAAAGCAAATTGATTTCTTTTAGAGATAGGATAAAATCATTATTAACTGAAAGATGGACACGTGGTGAATTTCAGAAGTGGAAGAGTGTAATGCACTAACTCATTTATTTTGCTTTGTAGGGTATACAGGGTCCACGAGGAAACCCTGGGGCAAAAGGATCTCAAGGTTTTGGTAATCCAGGTCCAAAGGTAATAGTTCAGACATTATTTTTTAAAGGACTGTATATCAGAAGAATGCTTTGTACTCACCTTGATTTATGAAAGGAAAATATTAGCCTCCATAGCAAAAGCAGGGAGAAATACAGTAATTTTCTTCTGGGCATTACTTTTGGATGTAAGTAGCAGTTACAGCAGCAATGTTTAATATTAATGTAGACAAAACTAGGTAGCTGTGAAACGTGTTATGTAGTGGGACAATTCTGTGTATCACAGTTTATCTTAGTGTGGTAAAGCAAAATCTGAAATTTTGGAATGGAATTCCTATTTCTTTAACTATTTTAGAACTACTGAAAGGAAGAATTGTGAGAATAAAGCTTTCTCTTAAGCAGAACTTCTGATTTTAATTTATTTGGGGTCATTTTTCATTCAGTGACCAAAGATTTTTTGATATAGTGGTCTAAAGTAAAAAATAAAATGTGTTAAACCAAAAAGGAGAAAATTGAAAGAATTCACTTAGACTTTCTGCCCACTGCAAGCTTAAATGAAATAGATGCAGCCCTACAAGCTGTCAGGGGGTTTAAAGAACAGAATTTTCCAATTGAAAACTACTTGGCTGAAAACTTCATAACTTAGAATATCTCAAGTTGGAAGGACACATAAGGATCACCACATTCACCTCTATGTGTAAAACAGTTAAATAGTGCAAGTAATGAATGAAGCTACATTGTGTTTCTCTGTCAAACTAAAGACTTTTTGTTACCAGGGTCAGCCAGGTGAACGTGGGCAAAAAGGAGAACCGGGACTTTCAGTAACTGGCATGCCAGGACCTAAAGTGAGCCTGCTTTTATTTTTAACTTCTCTTGACATGGTCTTTTAATTCTTTCACTAGTTGCTGATAAACTAAGTAGAAGATTTTTTGGTATAAATTAAGTATGATCAGAATAAGAGGGAATTTCAGTGACTCTTGTGAAAGTGTTACTGCAGCCATAACTGAAACAGAGTATCCCCAAATGTTTTCTAAGCTACTGAGTTATGTCCAAGGCCTGTTAGAAAGGTTACTAACTTTGTCCCTCTGCAATGATTTGGAAAAAAACCACCAGTCTGTGTGACAGTGATGGTCGTACTTGCTTACATGTTAAAAGAGTTGTTAAACACTTAAAGCTTTGACCTCAGCTGCCACTTTGATAACTGTAAACCATATCCTTAATGATTTAAGTAGGGCTTCCAAAATCTTAGGTAAGATGGCATGGACATTTTGTTTTTAATGATTTTTTCTCCAAATCGTGGAAGAAGTGCTTGGCAGGACTACTTCCTATGGATTGTTTCAACTCTTTCTGGCAAATATTAAAAGTAATGCCTTGTCTAGTTTGTTCAACCAGTGACGGATTAGTGTCCAGTTGACAATTCTAGTAAGGCATTTTTGGCTGACCATTTCTTGAGTCCTAGATGTTTGACTTAGTAAGTAAATAACATTCATATAATATTGTTCTCATGCACAGAATAACAAACAGCATTCAATTATATTTTTGCTCACTGAATAAATATAAAATTATTTGATACAAACACAAGATTTAAGAAGTAGGTGGGGAATTTGGAAAGCAATTTAAAATACTTATTTTATGAGTAGAAAGTTTACTGTCTCTATAGAATATTTAACCTACTTGGAATAACAACCTTTATTTGAGCAAAAATATTGTTTATCTTTAATATTTTCACAAACTGTTTGGTCCATTTTACAGAATAAAGAATTTATTGAAGTATGCAGATATAATGATTTATTCTTCTTTAAGGGAGATACAGGTCTACCAGGACCCAAAGGAGAGACAGGGATGAAGGGAGATCCTGGGCAGTCAGGGAAAAAGGTAAGGAAATGTATTTTCACACATTTGAAAGGTGTACAAAAATGGTGATGAAAGAACAACCAATCATTTGCAGCTATGCAATGGTAAGGAGTTCATCCTAGAAGAAGGCATGTGCCAGTATTTTTGCCAGGGATAAGGGACTGGGTGAGATGTTTCCAACAAACTAACAGTGGTTACCATCTGAATCAGCAACTGATTTAGCTGCCCTGCCTTTTATGGGCTATTGCTTAGTGTTAAATTTCTTCTTGGACAAAAGAGAGCTGATGTCTTCAGCCTCTTCCTTATGGCCTGTTCAGATTTTTCCTGACACTGAGCAGTCATGCTCAATTTGATGTGACAGAGCATCTAGCAGGGTGGTGAGCTGTGGCTGAAACTTGTCAGCCTGGTACAGGAATCAGCACAAACAGCTGAAACCAGGGCTGCTTTATTTTTTTTTCAAAGGAAATTTTGAGGTTTTAGGAGAAATTCTGCACAGAGAAAAAGAAACATAAATTCAAAATGCTAAACAGTAATTTAGAGGGGTGCAAAACAGGGTGCCCACGATAGTAAATTTAGAATAAGTTAAGTGGAAGCTTTTAATTTTACTCTTTCCAAAAAGAATGAGCTGCTGAGTGAGCAAAAGTCAGTGCTTTGGCTGATTTCGAACTGCTGCTGAGCATCCAGGTGCCTCCAAACTCTGCTACTATGCAGCTCTTATGTATATGAGGGTAGCAGCTGGCTGACATAGAATTGATGAACTAAACAAAAGTTGGAGTAAGCAAATCAGCATTTTTGACTGTGGGCTTTTAGTCAGAAAATATCTGAAAAGCTGTAATAAATACCTTTTAAGATTGTGGCTTCACTTTTTTTCACCTTTTAAGATTGTGGTTTCACTTTTTTTCATCTGAAAGGGCAGTGCAAATACCAGTTTAACAAACTACAGGCTGAGGCAGTAAGCCTTCTACTGTGAGAAAATATGTAGCATTTCTGTTACTACTTAATAATTTTTTAAAAGTTTGAAATCACTCACCGCTGAAGAATTAAGATCCCACTGTATCAGTAGCAAAATATCAGAAAATGTTAGGTTAAAGCTACAAGTGGTTTTTTTTATTTGGGAATGATTTTTTTCTTGCATATTGCCTTTATTCTGGTGATTAACTTTGTGCTGTCACCTTCATTGCTGTATTCCATTGAAAGTAAAAATAGTAGGACTGAGCAACTACCCTGGGTATTCAGGGGTATTCTGTGCACAGAACAGCTTGTAGGTCATGTTCCTTAATAGAAAGTTCTGTGTGGGCTCTTTGTGAATTATTTGAAGCAATGTTCCTGGCAAATATTTGCAGCCTGGATTGGCCATTGGCTACAGACTTGTCTAAAACTACTGATTTTTAAAAGTTGTTTTGCTTAGAATTGATTAAGCAAGACCTTTTCTGATAACTTTGCAAGCATTTCTCTTTCTCATATGAGTATATGCGTGCAATTCTTCCTATGAAAGATTGACGCAATTGCAAATAATACTATTACAAATGTCTGTACAAAAAAGGAATATAGATGCAGGAGAGTAGAAGGGGCTTAAATGACAGAATACTTTATTTTTTACAGGAAGAAAAAAATTAACCAGGTACTTACTGACGTTTTTGAGGAAAGTGTTTATGCAAGCATTGTTTCTTGTAAGTCTATTGATTCAATAAAATTAGCTACATGAACAGTAATTAACCACTTAATATCTCTTAGGGGGAAAAGGGAGATCAAGGTCCAAGAGGCCCAGAAGGACCCCCTGGCAGAGGAGATGTAGGTCAAAAGGTATGGCTTGACATGCACACTGGAAAAATATTACAAACTTTAGAAGGACCTATTTTACAAGGGTTTGGATTCTGACCTACTTTTTCCCTCATTACATCTTAAGTAGCTACTCTGTTTTAACTGATGATTTAAAAGGATTTAAGAGAGAGCAATGTGTTCCATAACTTGAACAAGTGTAGCAAAATCAGACTATAAATGTAGAACCTTAAGTTAATAGGGTAGTAGAGATTTCCTAAAAATTCAGTACAGAGTTTTCAATAAAGTTAGGAGGTGACAAATTAGTTCAGTATGTTGATAGGGAGAGAGAAGCTAAGAGAAACTAGGAGACTAGTTAGATATCTGAATATGAAATTAAAAGCCTGGAAAGATGTATTAGTAGACAGACAGGTTTTATCTCCCATCTGGTTAAATTCATGACACTTGATGCAAATACTAGAACTGAGTGGGATTTTAGTTGGAGTGGAGCATCTAATTACCCTTCTAATTATGGGTGTCATTATCACTGTGGTTTTGGCTATTTGTGTGATTTGCTGTGATTGAAAAAAAAGGTGTTTGTTTTCATCAGGGTGACCCTGGAGAAAAAGGATCCCAAGGACTGATTGGTCATAAAGGTCTACGAGGCCCAGTTGGACCAAAAGTAAGCTTGTTCCTCCATGGTAACCCTTCTCTCTGTACTTTATAAAAGAATCTTTGGAATTTTTGTAATGTACAGATTTCTCAAGCACCTAATGCTTAGAGACTTAACAGAACAAAGGAAAGGCAGAAATATTTCCATCCTCTGTCTAAAAGACACAGAGGTCCCAAGGAGAGAAACAATAGGTAAACATACAATTACGTACCTTATAGTTATGTATGAGCACTGATAAGCTAAATTAAAGTTGTCCAAGTGATTCTAACCGTGAGCATTTTGCAAATTTTTACTTTGAATCAATAACTTTCTTTTATAATATTTTGTGAGTAAGTGTCACTCTGCATGATAAGGAAATTGAAATACTACAAGTCTTCTGGTCATTCCATTAGCTTTGTAAGCTGGACACAAAAAATTAATTAAAGCTAAAAAAGTCATTCAACCAGTAGTTATTTAAAACATGAAACTTGGACTGGGTTTCACAAGAACAGTAAGTTGATTTAAGTTTTTTCCCCAATATTGCCTATTTTGCAGGTAGATCTATATGTAGATATTTTCAGTTCAGAAAGTGAAACCATTTATTTAAATCTAGATTATACCATTTGTAACAGGGTGAACCAGGAGAGAGAGGAGCCCCTGGACCAGCTGGATCATCTATTCAGGGACCTGCTGGACCAAAGGTGATTATCTGATATGCATTTCCTGGAGACCAGAGATTGGAAAGTTTCTAATGCACATTTCTATCAAAATTAAAAGTATTTAATTTTTAAAAGTTGAAATTCCACGTTCTAGTAACAACAAGAGTGAATTCAGAAATAAGGACAAAAAAGTATTAAAAATTAACAGAGAGTGTTTGAGGACCATTTTAACATCATGCTGAACTCAATACATAGTTATTGTCTCCTGAAGCCATTTGTTTAAAATGAAAGGTCCTTATTAGATTTCTGTTGTGATTTGGTCCCTCTTGTGCAATGAATCACTTTGAAGTATTTTTTTTTCCAGAATTTACTATGCATTTTCTATCTTAGAACATGGCATTAAAACCCTGCAAGAATATGTGTGTGTGTAGTTCTAAGGAGTTATATGCTGAACTAGATGACTTTTTGGGAGAGGGATGTTTGTATGTCACTTCCAAGTGTAGGTACTGCTTGAAATGAAATTACATATACAAGATAGCTAGGGCTTCATCCATCTCATTTTCTCTATGGAGAAAATGTGCCTGACATGAGTGGGAGTTGTCCTGCTGAGTAAAATAGGTGGATCCAGCAAAAGTAAATCTGACTTTGAAGGTTTTAAAAGCATTTGAAAATTCACTGTTATTTTAAGAATAAAGTAGTTACTCTTTTTATAATATGTCAGATAACTTCAACTTTTATTGATGCTTTTCAGCTTTGGTGTTAGTTTTTAGAGAGGATGAATCACTCACCTACATCCTATCACTTTGAAGTGATTTCATCCCCATTTATCTTCTTCCTTAAAAATATATGTGCACCCACACAAAGTAAATGAGGGTATTGCACATACAATATAGTCAGTCTGGCTCTAGGACACCACAGAGTGCTATGATGTGGTTTGCACTTGTTTGTGCATGGAGGAGGAAGAAAGAAAGGAATGCAAAAAGCTCAGGGTACACCTGAAGTTAAAAGGCAAACACAGAAAAGGAGACATGAAGTGCTCATATCTCTTATAATGGTTTCAAACCATAAGAATGTACCAAATTTTATGTGAGGAAAATACACAAGTGGCATGGTGTAAGGCATGACTTATATGAAGACAGGTTTCACTACACTGGTCTTACTTCACATTTTTCTCATTGCTGTGACATTTTTTAATAGAGCAGTAAGCAAGTCAAGATTGTTCACTGATAAAACTCATGCTGAAAAATAACAATTTTTCAGACTTTTTTGCCTTTTTCACTATGATTTTATTATGTTCAATACAGTTCATATCACTTTTATAGCAGATGGGTCATGATCCAAAATCCACTGAAGTTTGTAGGAGTTTTTCCAAACCCTTTACTGAATTTTAGAGCAGTGCTTACATATGCAGTGGCTGATGAGAGAAAACAAGTGTTTTGGGTAATTATAAAATGCAAGTTGGTTTTTAGAAAATATATAAAACTTTGTCTCTTTAGCTCCATAATAATTTCTCTGTTCAAACAAATATCTACTGTGTTTCTGACTGTTGATAGTAATGCAACAGGCTACACAGGTTTGTTTTCTCTTTCCACCATGGATGTACAATGGTAACTAGTAATTGTGTTCCTGAAGCATCCTAGTATGTGCAGTAGAAAAGAAATACATTGTAAACTTCTAATGCAAGGAATGTTTTTCAAAGCTGGGAGTTACCATGGTCTGAGGTCTTTTTGGGACGTCTCTAAGTGTCTGAGGTAGTAGTGGGTGATTGCCAGAGGTCTTAACTCCTGGACTGCTATGGTTGCATCCATTTGTGGTGACCAGTGACAGGACCTGAGGGAATGGCCTAAAGTTGTATCAGGGGACATTTAGGTTGGATATTAGAAAAAGGTTCTTCACGCAGTGGGTGGCTGGGCACTGGAACAGGCTCCCCAGGGAAGTGATCACAGCACCATCCTGACAGAGGTCAAGGAGCGTTTGGATGATACTCTCAGGCACATGGTGTGACTCTTGGGGATAGTTCTGTGCAGGGTCAGGAGCTGGACTTGATGATCCTTGTGGGTCCCTTCCAACTTGGCATGTTTTGTGATTCTGTGGTTGGAAGTTCATTTATTTTAAGCTACACTCACCTTTGGGGGCTGGAGTTTTATTTCCCTTGACAACCATTATGCTGTTACTAATATGGAGACAGTAACATTAGAGAGCTGGTTTTTCTAATATTTTTTTCTCATGGCTACAGCTGCTCAGTGATTGTGATAGAATATTTGGTCTGTGTTCCCTAGTGAATGTTTCCTGAAATACTGCCTGTCCTTCTCACTAGCGTGAAAAACTGTAAATGTTTCATTGAAAATTGAAATTTTCTTTTTAAGTTCCTTAATGTAAAGTGAAACATCTGTTGCCATAGATCAAACACTAGAAGGAGAAAATTTTTCTCTGTGAAGGGATAACATAAGGAACGTGAATTCTAAGCCTGATTGCTTTCCAGGAAAGCCACTGACAGAGCTAAGATTACCAAACAGTTGAATTGGATAATATTTGAGGAAAACTCAAGTTTCTCCCTGAGTCTTCAGACTGTGGAGCTTGCAATTGTGAAATGCTGCACCATTGCATCAATAGGCTTTCTAAACATGCTCTGTGTCAGCACTTGTCTTTGAATTTCCCTGCTGTTCTCTGTGTGCTTTGGTAGAAATGAAGTCATGCAGCCTTGCCGGTGTGAGCAAAAGCAGGCAGAAGCCACAGGTGCATCTGGCCTCTGAAACTGAATTATGATATTCAACCTTCAGTTGAAAACTAAAGCCATCAAGTTATTCAAAAAGGCAGAACAAAATCTTTGACATAGTTGCAGAGTAACAAAAGTATAAGATAGGTCAAATCAAGGTAGTAAAATATTCCTCTAGAAATACTGATTTTGTATTACCTAACTCAAGAATTGTCACTGTCAGAAAGAATTGAATACTTGTTCTTTTCAGTAAAACTTTGGAAATGAGCGCGGAATATACTGAATATAATTTTGAATTTGTTTCTTTTTGGATAGGGGGATCCAGGACCCAAGGGGTCACGGGGAGATGATGGACTTCCTGGAAATTCAATAATGGGACCAATGGTAGGAGTTTTTAGACAAAAGATGGAAAGTGAATAAACATGAGACAAATGCAAAACTGTTGTGAAAATATGCACACCACCTGAATGACTTTTTTATTACCAGTTCTTCAATTTTTCCATCACTCCAGGTTAAGTCTGTTTTAAAAATAAACATTGTCTTTTCAAAGAAGAAACACAAAATAGTTTAAATGAGTATACCTCACCCTTGAAACTTGCTGCAGGAAGTGTTCATTAGGAAGATAGTTCTTCAAATTCACCTCCACCTGTCATTAGCTCATGTGGTCTTTTATAGCTTTCTATGAGCAATATTCTCTTTATTGAGTATAAACTAAGAGTTAATAGTTATTTTAACAGTATTTCAGTATAACAGCATTTCAGTATTACCAGCCTCGCACATTCAAAAGCACAAGTAAGACCTAACGTAAAGGATTTTAAAAATAGATATTTTGAAAATATTTCAAAATTGTATTCAGACAGACCAGCTGCTGAGATCTGAGCTGCTAACAGGACTCCATTCTTGGTTTCTTGAAGTATTATGTTGTTGCAGAAATTTACAGATGCATTACAAGGATGAAACAGCAGTTTTCAGTCATTTTTAGTTTCATTTTTCTAGTTATTTGCCTTTACTGAAACAGACAGGGAAATATTTGCTATTGATGTGTAGTTATTCTTGAGGATATGTTATGTGTATGTATATTGACAATACAAGTTGTTTACAACACTCTACAACACTCTTTTGTAGAGTCTATTAACATTTCTTGGTTCTGTGGGACTGAGTGAAAGGCATGCAGTTTTCTCTGTATGGCCATATCCATATCATGCTTAGGAGTGAGGTGGATGTGTGACCTGCAAGCAACAGTAGGGATTTCTGATTGCTTGTGCTGTCATGTGAACATCTACAGCACAGACCAACAGCATATCTTGAGGGATTCCTCAAAGTAATGTTTTCTTTCTCAGTTCTGTGAAGAACAGTCTACTGCAAGCTCAGTTTCTCGTAAAATGTCAGGAAAACGATCAGTGGAATGAGGAAAGAGGAAAAGTTTGCTGTTTGCTTCTCTTCTGGCCGTGAAAGGAAGCACTGAGGTTTTGCAGATGCATAAATCTTTAGTGGAAGTCAGTGGAAGAGTCAACAGCAGGAGTGATTGTCTCTTGATACAGAGCATTTTAGGCTGAACTAAGAGAAATTATCTCTTTCTTATAGCTGGTTGTACTTCTTTCTTTTACTATTTTCCCTTGTAGAATGCAGTTTTGCATTACTCTGTGAGAGAACCAATGTGAATACTTGGAAGTGCAAAATGTGTAACATACAACTTAAGGCTGCCATATTATGTTTCAATATTATTCAGTTCCTTGCTCAAATGTCAGTGCTTAGCCCCAAATTCATAAACGTTTAAGGTTTTAAAAATAAATTTAACTTCGTACTGGCTGAAGATAAAGTCAATATTCTGAAGATTTCTCTCTGCAATTAAAAATCTAGAAATTAATCATTTCCTAATAAAAACTCCTTCTAAGATGTCAATTCAATCAATTCAAAAACCAATTAAAACAGCACAAAAATTCCTGAACTTTGTGAACAAATTGCAGGAGCTACTAACTACTATTCTATATTTCCAAAAAGATGTTAAGTAGTTTCCTTACATATTTTTAATATTTGTTACACTGTGAAGATCCAGTTACTGGCATGATTTCTGACTTACTATTTGATATTCAGGGGAACCCAGGACTACCTGGACCACCCGGACCCCCTGGAGCAAAAGGTGATGGTCACAAAGGTGAAGCTGTAAGTACAATTTTAATTCTGTACTTTGTGTTCTACTGGAAAAAAAGAAAATCACCATGTGATAACTCAATATTCAGTTGCTTAGATTTAGTTACTTAACTAAGTGCAATTAATATTCCTTTAGATAATTTAAATGTTTCATATATATTTTGAAGTCCTTTCCTGTCGTAGATACAGTGCCAGCTCTACAGGCAGTCAGAACTGCATATAAACAGTTCTCATTTCAGCATCATGAAAAGGATACCATGTAATTGTATAAAAATCTTTATGACTGCTTATACATGTTTAATATAATCCCTGCTTTGAATTCTTTTCCCTCCCTCCCTTTTCTTTACTGTTCTCTATTCAAGATTTCTAATACCATCTGCTTGGTCAAATTTTGCAGTTTCAATTCCTGGGTTTTTCAGCTGCTTTTCATACTAGGAGGTTAAATCCTCTTATCCAAAGATTTTCTGTCCCTTGCTTTTCTCATGGATGTCTCCAGAGGGGGTTAATACAGCTGTTCCAGCTACCAAATTCCATTAAAAGGACATACCATCCTAAATTTCAGTCATCCAAACCATACAGACATGTTTACCAGCCTCTCACTAGTGAGTGAAAGTACTGTTACCATCCTTCAACCACCACGTCAAAATTCCATTAGCACTATTTTTTTTGTGTCTCTAATCCAGCTTTATTTCAAACTACAATGATGCAGGCACTCAAAATGCACTGAGGTGGGGCCTGAGAGCTTTCAAATAAGTCACAACTTCTCCAATTTTTTTTCCTATTGTTCAAACTGTTCCTGGGAAGATTTCCTGGGAAGATCCTTCGGGACCAGAATTAGTTCATAAGGCACTCACTCAGAATTCCTGGTGTAATGCCACATACCTGACACATTTCACGTAATGTGTAAAGGTTCTGTTGGGCTGTAACACCCATCTTTCCCCTGCCCTTCTGTGCCCCATGATCTGGAAAGACCAACTTCATAAACCACTGGCAGACATAAGACAAGGAAAAAAGTCATTGACTTAAGATAGACATGGCTTAGCTAAAACCCAAAACATCAGTGTGTTATCAACAACATTCTCTTATGAATCCAAAACACAGCGCTGTAACAGCTACACTGAGAAGAAATTAACTGTACCCTAGCTGAAACCAGGACACAGGGTTACTTAACCTCCAAATTTAGGTGGGTTACCTCTGGTATTCCAGTTGTCTAATGTCTAATGAATCATGGAGCATTGTCTGCTTTCTCACTGTTTTCTCTGAGCTGAAAACAACTCAAATGTTCTTCAGTCAAGAGCCGTACTTTTTTTCCACCACTCTAATAGTCTTTTTATGTTTCCACCTGGGACTGAGCATGGCTGTCACTCAGTACACATCAGAAATGTGAAGAAATTCTCTTCTTTGTTGAAGCATAGAAGTACTCTTCCCTTAGGACAACTACTGACATGCTTTATTCCTCTGCTGTACCAGGGACCTCCAGGACCAGCAGGACCTCCAGGACCAGCAGGCCCAAAAGGCGTGGGAGATGCTGGACCAAAGGTACTTGCACAATAGGAGTAAATGCATCTAACTCATAGACAAGGTAGACAAGCATCTTCAAAAAATGCATTAGATTAGAATAAAAAAAATGACAAAGTACTGCATTCTCATTTTTCACTTTTCATTTCAGTTAGAAGAAAAGCTAGTGATTGATAGACTTTTCTGACATGATAGAAACTAGTTCTTGCTTTATCCCCAGACTTGATGCAAATCTGCAGATTTTCCACACATCCAAAGACCCAGAAGGTTTCTAGATGTTGGTGTTTCCATGTGGAAGTCAGATTCCAACACAAGCATGGTATTGCCTAATAATTATGCCCTTCCTTTCTTCTGCAGAAGTGCAAAGCATGAGGCCAAAAGGAAGTCAGGGGTTACATGGAACTAGTGAAATATTTTTAAAATTCCTAGAAATGGATTCCTAAGAGAAGACTATACACTTTTATCTAAAATTATTGTTTGCTTAGAGACAAAACTTGACAGAGAAAACAAAGAAGCTGACAAAGGAACTAGAATAGGAAACAAGCAGTGTGTTGCATGAGAAAACAAAATAAATATTGCCCAAGAAGTTTTTTCCCAAACAGAAAGAACTTTCAACTTCAGTTCCCAGAACATGAGAATTCCCATTTAAAATAAACTTCAATAAACCTCTTAAAGATATCCACAATAAAGGAAAAACTTAAGGACATTCCTTCTTAGAATGACTTGACTGTAGAATTACCACAAAATGGTCTGACACTGAGATCTGAGAAACGTGGCTTTGTGCTTCCATTCTGAATTACTGCTTATCAATATGAGGCATTGCACATCAAGTAATGCAAGGCCCATCACACAAACTACTAAAGAACTAAAAGTAATGTCAATTAGGTTATTCAGGATAAACTTACAGAAAATGCCTATTGCTAAACTAATTAATTTTTTCTGTAGGAGATTGTATCTTTTCCAATTTGAGATATCAGACTCTATATGATATAGTCTTATAATACACTTTTTTTGGTACTACAGAAAAATATTTCATTAAAATCCTAGAATCTTATAGGAAATTATTATTAATGTTTTTAAAAATGTTTTTATGACTACAAAATGTCTAAGGGTATAATTTTGTCTGGAATTCCTCATAATTTCCTAAACGTATAATTCTGCAAAGTAATGTTTCTCAAAGAAAAGGAATTGGGAAGTCATGTAAAGTAATCAAATAAGATGATCTCCCACTACAATACCATGGTTTAAAGATTACAAACCCCAGAAATATAAATCAGAATTTCAGTGGGCCTATAGGAGGTGAATATAAAGAAATTTGACTTAAGTCCAAAATGGAAATAAAAGATTATTTTTTAATTGAAAGGAAACCACTAGAATAATTGCAGTGAAATTTCTCACAGCTGCAAGTTTTAAAATCAATGTTTGTGTTGTGTTTCTGAAAAGTATCACAAATACAAAAGTATACAGAAATGCACTTAGGCAAATCATAGTGCCTGGCTTAAATGAGATATTATCAGAAAGTGGGTCACAAGTTCCTTTTCTTCTTATAATCATGAATTCATAGAATTGCTGGGCTGTGTAATTATTAGAAAAGTTCCAACTCATGGAAGCGATGGAAGTGCAATAGTGTATCATAAAATGCATTAGAAAGAAGGAGGTAAAAGCTGTAAAGTAAGAGAAAATGTGTCCAGTTTTTGCAGTGGAGGACATGGGATCTAGCCTTTTTGTCAGTTGTTCTTAAACCACTGTAAGTCTTTTGATAAAATGTTGAATATATTTAATTAAATAATAGGTTACCTATTATAGTACTTACAGTTTCCAATTTTGGCTCCAAGTAATGTAAATTTTTGTCAGTTGAAGAGAGTTGTTCATATTCCTTTATAGAGACATCAAGTCCTTAGTTGTTGGTCCCTTCTCCACCCATGACCATAGAAAGTATTACCATTCCTCAAGATCTGTGGAGTGAAGTGTATTCATGGTAGTGGTAAAGAGATTTATTGGTAGCATATTTTTATGGAGGAATATGACCTGTGTTGAGTTAGTTGAACATTATCGATTAATAACAAATTTGGCAAAAGACCTGTTACTTTGACCTAGATTTGACTGAGCAAAAGCGAAATAGCAGGCTGTGAGGCTTATAATTTCATAGTACTTAATCACAACAGGAAATCATGGCCAGGCTTTGCAGACGAAGATTTGAGAAGGGCTCTACCCACGCTTGCTACAAGCGCGCTGATGGCTGAAAAGGCCAATGACAGATAGACAAGTCCGGTTGCAGAAGGCACAGTGGAAAGTCTTCTTAGGCAAGACACAGTTCTTCCTGCATTGTCTTTTCCCCTCAAGAACGACTCTACCTGTGTTCTCAAAAGCAGCAGCAGCGTTATAGATGGTGTGTCTCCAGGCCTCCCGATTGGAGGCCAGGGCAGACCAATGGTGATGATCAATATGGCCAAGGCTGAGGGATTGTTTCAGGCAGTCCTTGTATCTCCTCTTCGGGGCTCCTCTCTTGCGGCAGCCAGTGGCAAGTTCGCCATGGAGCACAATCTTAGGGAGGCGGTAGTCCTTGATCCCGGAGACGTGCCCTGCCCAGCGTAGCTGTGTTCTCAACAACAGGAAATAGTATAATGGAATATCTAGTAATAGAAACTCTTATCCTTATCTTAGGCAAAAAGGGGTTTCAATGGTCCCACAAGCCAGGAAGTGGATTTCCTTCAGATGAAGCTAAACTGGATGATCTGATCTGCAAGTCATGTGGGGTGAAATGTATGTTGTTCTATACATAGTGAGCAGCTGTAGCTTTTGCAGTGTATGACTGCTGCACAAAAGCATGCCTTATCCAACAAGGTGTAACATCTCTGATTTAGTTCTTTGTATCCACACCAGACATGGTATAGAGTGCAATGGAAAAAAAGAAACTTTATATATGTATATTTATATAAATAGATAAACGTCTCTTTCCCTGATTTTTTGCTTCTGTTTGCCCATTTTGAATCCTTAATCTCTGCGTAACTTCATGGTAGCAAAGGTTCCACAAGGAAGAAGAATTTACTTGAATTGCAAGAATTGCACCAGAACTTAGTACATAAAATAGACAATCTTCTGGTTTTTTTCAAATAAAATATAAGTGCACTGGCTACCTCTTATCCCTTCCACATAAAAAAAAAAGTGTATATAGAAATGGCAACAATCTCTGCATATAAAAAAGAACATTTATTTGATAAAAGAGACTCATAAATTTACACACTAGTTAATTTGAAATTCCTTTGAGTATCATTATAAAGGAATGTTTCACTCATTTGAATCAGAGCTCTGTTCTCTCTGCTTTCAGAAATGGCTCACATATGTGCACACTGCTAGACAGGAATTTTATGTATCAGAGGTCAAATTCACATGAAAACAGAACTGTAACATGTGGGATGCATTCAATCTTGGCAGCAACCTATTTTCTGTAGCATTGAAACAGAAGCACATAATGTCAGAATACAATAAAAAATTTGATTTAAAACCACTGTTGCCAGCTAGGAGGTGGGTTGCAGACATTCAAGAGCAAGAGCCCAGCACTAGAAATAAAGCAAGTAACTAGGTAGCAGAAAGATTATTAAAATCTCTAGCACAGTCCCTAGTGCACAAACGTTTGGGCTGGATTCAACTGCAATATAAAGAACCTTTGCAGCTTGGGGCCTGACTATTTGAACTAAAATGTGGAAAGTAGAGATGTAATATCTTTTTTTATAATATTTTCTTCTTACAGATCCTGTTATATCCATTAGCTGTCACTACAGTATTGCAGGGTCTGCTGTAATTCTGAGTGTCAAATACACATGCTTTACACTAAATGAGGCATATATATTTGGAACCCAAGATTTACTTTTCAGTGACCATTAGGTCATTTAATGAATTTTTCTTGAATAAATGGTACAGAACAGACATAGGCATCCCATACTTTACACTGTCTTGACTCAGCTCTTTATTTCTTGTTTCAGTGGTGTTTTTCTAGTTCACTGTTTTGCTGATGGTGACAAGCTTGTCTACAAGCACAATGCAGGAAATAAATTAGACCTCATCAAAGAACAGTACTAATCCTTCTTGAAATGAATTCTCTGGAGGACAGTTTAGTGTGACACCTTAGAAAAAAAGAACTGCTCCACTTCACAACTCATAAAGCAAAATAAAAGTCTTTTTCTTTAAGCCAAGAAATACAGAAACCTTGAGGATTACTATAAAGCTCTACAAAAGAGCTTTTCAGTGAGACATCTGGTATTAACTAAGCATGTGAGGCTAAAATTCAATCCTTCACCTGCAACGACCCTGTGTTAAGACTGTGTTACCCATGGGAGGAAGAGGCAGATGACTTCAAGTCACCCTTACGCTCTTTGTGGTCTAGGCTGGTCTAAGAGCAGGTTGTAGGTATATGGGATACTGCACCATAAGAAATCATTTATATTTGGTAACCTCACATTCAGCTTCCATCACAGCAGCTCACAGTCTGTTTCTTGGGCCACAGCAGCCCAGGATCTCCTAAAAAGTACTTATAATGAAAAGTCTTATCTGTATATATCTCTGTGTATCTCCTAGCTCTGGCACCTCTAGCAGGTTTCAGAGAGAGGCTTTCCTTGGGCAAGGAAAGCTTTGGCTGCTCTGTGCAACTTCTGCTCATGAAGAGTGCTACAAACCACTTAAGGCTGTATTATGGTTGTGGGGACATTGAGTACCAATAAATAGCCTTTGATAACAAATGGCTACCTTTGGCAAGACTCTCAGTATTTCCTAATAATGTGACAATCTCAAGGAAATTGTAAGAAAATGCATTGAAGGCAGAATTGAGAAACTGGACATATTTTAAAACATCAGAAATATCTCCCACTCATCCCACTGTAGAGGGGCATTTCCCACTACCATGTACCAGACTAAAGAGCTACAATATTTACATACTTAAGTTTGCAATCTTTAAGAGCTTATAGCTAAAATTTTGGAAAAATGGTTCAAGGGCATTGCCAATGTCTTGGCTCTTTGCACTGGCAGGGAAGGTGTGACATAAAAGCCTTAGGTTGTCTGAGAGAGAAATTTCCTCACAACTGAACGTGACAGTCAGTTTAACCCAATCAGCCTGGCACACCAATTTAAAGCTAAGAGCATCCATGTACCATGCCTGTGTCCTGACTCAAACTGGCCAGTCTCCAGTGCTTTGAAAGAAAGAAGAATTGAAATGAAATTCCAAAGCCAAATGTTACATCAAGAAGGAAAGCATTATAAGCTCAGGCTAAGCCTTAGCCTTAGAGATTGAACATTGGGAATTTCACCTAAAAGCAGTCACTATAATGGCTGTGCACATTCCTCCCACGAAGTAAAGAAAATCAGTAAAAGATTCTGTTTCTTTCCTTCCTTTTTTATCTGTTTGATATGTTGTTTCATTTCACCTACCACAACTCAAGTGACATCAGTGATTTGTGTGATTTATACTTTCACCTCTCTCCTAGATCGAATGCTCCCTCTGTAGGCACAGTCTTTTCTACAGCTTTTCCCAGTTCAAAAATAAGTACAATGAAGAGTTTTTATAATTAATTTTTATTATTATTATGTCAAGAAATGCAATTTCTTCTGCTCTGTTTTTAATATATTGGATGATCAATAGCTTATTAGTAAATTTCTTTCTTTTACACTTGCCTCTACAGTCATAGGTTTAGGGATATCAGGCTAAACCTGATTCAGAATATTCTGCATTTATAACTCATCAGTTAGGAACTTTTTTTTTTCTTTTCAAACTCATGGGAGTTTTCCAGTGATGATGTTTTGAATGTGAGCCTATTCCCTCATTTGTACAATTATGGATTGAGGAAAACAAAACTGCCTTTTCTATCGCTGTGTATTTCCACTATCACCAATGTCCCCTGACCCTCATCTCCTTTGCTGGGTTTGTCTGCAGCACTAGGCTCCCTGTTACACTCATTTTCCCCTGACTAGACAACTGCTGCCTTCTCTCTTCCTGGTGGCTAAGGGATGAGTCCCCTCTGGGTTTTCTTTGTTTCTCAGTGAAATCACAGATCGAATCTCCTGCCATTACCCAGCCTCTATCTATCATCAAAACTGTCAAGAATGCATATGCTCAAGGTCATACATTTCTGATGAATTTGACTGAAATCAACTGATGACTTGATAATATACTGGAAGAAAAAAGAGGACCAACACAGACAAGCAGAAGGACAGACAGAGTATCTCTCAAGCCTCATTTCCTTAAGAAATCAAGATAAAAGTATTTGCATTAAGGCTTTCTAAGAAAACAAAGGGCTGTTCTTTTTATTCTTCTATATTAATGCTATTAAAATTCATTTAGTTTTCATAATTGCTTAAGTGTGACAGTTCTGGAAATTAAATATTTCTAGTGTCAGAACAAGCACAATATCAGTAAAGGGCATGATCACTATTGTGTCCCACCAGTAAGTTTCTTGTCCATCCTGGTAAACCACTGCAAAATGTGAAGGGAAAATGGTATTGCTTCCAAATGGGTTTGCTTTTCTTTTTTTCTGTATCTGATAGGGTCCTAACTCTGTAGGTGATTTTGATCACATGGACCTTCCTGTAGAGCATAAATAATGTTGGTGCTGTATTTTGGGTGCTTTTTTTTATACCTGTCTATGAAGCAGCTGTTTATTCATGTAGCATTTATTTGGCTTGTTTTTTAAACTCATTAGTTTGACTGCCTCATAAGTGGATGAAAGATATAATAGTTATTAGGTGATAAATGACTGAGATTTCTGTGACTGTTTTCAGGGAGACCGTGGAATTAGAGGCTATCCAGGGCCCCCGGGGCCACCAGGAATCGGAACCATTGGTCCCAAGGTTGGTCATGATGCTGTGATGAAGTTTTTGTGCTGTTTGGTGATGCTGGCTGCCAGACTCTGGTCTTTCAGACACCAAAAGATCTTCATCAGTTATTGATTTACATCAGTGCAATTGCAAGAGGAATCAAGCATAAAAACATGGTCACTGACCATACACTTCTACCAACCAAATTAGGAAGGGATCCTAACAGGATAAAAATTGCATTTTCAGCTAAACTTTATGAGATTACAGCTGGAAATTGAACAGAGCTATTAGACTGGTAAATCAGTTAAAAGATGCATTTCTTCTGCTGGTCTCTATCCTGTTTCCAAGATATTGTTTTGTGGTGGAAAATACATTAAATGTGAATTTTATGTTGCAATTTTTGCTCAATTAAATCAAATCCAATTAATATGATTAGTAAAACCATTAGGAAAGAAACATGAAAACAAAATACTAATTCTATAATAAAAAAGCATGCAACATCTGGGCAATTTTTTCTCCCTGCACTAAAGTGATTTATAATTCAAAAAAGACATACTGAGAAGAAAAGAAGTTCTGTACTTACCAGGATTTCCTTATTGCAGGTGTATCCATCAATTATTTTTACAAAGGCAATGAGGAGAAACATTTTATGTATTTCTCTGCATTAATTTAATTTAAAAATAGTTATGACTTTTTAACTTTTCTAGAATTAACAGAGGGTAACAGAAGTCTCCACTGCCCTTTTGTATAAACTAGTATCTGAATTAAGACACATTGCTGTTACCAGCCCCTTACAGAAACGCAATAAGCCAGAGAGCATTTTAGGATGTGACTGATTTCCTTTGGTTCCTGAAAGCTGCAGCAATTCCAGTACCTTGGTAAATCATACTGACACAGCCTGTTTAACAACAGTAAGTTTGGACTTAGTGTCAAAATGCTACAAATGTGTGACACTCTGTGCTGTTACCACAAAGCCTTTGAGAATTAAAAATGTTAGATTAGCCTGCCTGCAAAGCACAAGGGCTTTACCCGACTTTGACTGTATCGACACAAATCAGCAGATCCCGCTTGATCCTTGCCCTCCCACTTACAATTTTCTGAATGCCTGGTGCTCCCCGAGACTGTGGCACCACAGGGTCTGCACAAGAACTAGCTAACATGCCTGACAGATTTACTTGCACTCTGGTCCTCTGTGCTTCTACTGTTATGCCTCTCTTGTGTGGAGGGATTATAGGAAGCCACTAAAAGTATAAAGATGTTTTCTGTTGTCTTCTATGTGGGGAAAAAACGGGGAAAATATCACACTATGTCATGAGCAAATATTATTCTTTAATTATTTTAAGCTTAATTGTTCCTTTGCTTCCCTAGGAATTTGCCAAAGATAATTACTAAGACCCACACTGAGAAACCATAAACCAAAGAGGAATCAGAACTAGTCTTTGACATGGTTTTAATTTTGCTTGCAGTGACTTTGAGATGACTTCTTTAGTGTTACCAGGAGTTTATCTCCTAATTCTTCTTTTTTGCCTCACTGTTCCCATAGGGTATTATGGGACAGAAAGGCTTGCCTGGTCCACCTGGACTCCCTGGCAACAGCATACAAGGAAGCAAGGTAATCCAGATTAAATTGGTATCTGTCCAGTTTCTTCTTAAAACTGACTGTTAAGGAGATTGATTGTCTCTCTTCCTTTCTGTCACTGAGTAGGTGAATGCCTGCAATATTTCATTTTACACTTAAGTTTCTTATTCATACATTACATACTATTTACTTTATCTGCTGAGTTTTCAATTTTGGTTGCACCCAATTGCTCTCCTATAGTTCTTGTCATGGCAAATATACTTAACTTGAAAAAATAAACTCATTTCTGCCATGTCTAACTGATTTACTTAGATTTAAAGGGTAGTTTTTATTTTTTATTAAAGGAAGGTTTTTATTCACCCAGTTCCTTCCATAACCACAACTTCTCTCCCTATAAACAGAAACACAAATATGACAACATATTCTGGACATTCAAAGTTATTAAATTGCCTTGTCATAAATGCGTAGAAGAAATTATTAAAACTGGAGGCTCTAGTGGAGAACAACCCAAGTTTCTCTCGTTTTTATTAAATCAGTGTGCTTAAAATTGAGCATATGATGCAATATGTTCCTGATCAGGAGTATTGTGCTCAGGTCTCCAAGTCTAGGTTGTCAAATCACCAGTAAGTCAGTAAAAGGGGCATTGTTCTAGATGGATTAGAAAAGGTGCCTCTCTGTCCTCTGATTTGCTGTAGACACTAAAGCCACTGTGGAATTCATTGACAAACAGGTCTTCATTGGAAAATAATGACATTCTGAATAAAACAAACAAATATATGAAAATGTCTATTGTTTGAAAAATCATCCAGAGGAGAATCTTTCTTTGGTTCATTGTAGAATTACTTCATACAGGCTTTACCAGAAAAGCACAGGTTCCTTTGGAATTTACTTTGTTCAGGACTTGCTTTGATTCCATCTTTAATGTCTTTTGTTTTTATATTTCCATTCAATCATTTCCCTTTTTATTCTGCAGAGAATTCTTTTTTTCACTGTGAGGTGTTTCATAGCACAAAAACATACTTCATTCTGTTCTTTCTCTCCCCCTATTGTGTTAAGTCACTTTTGCAGGTTCTGATTTATTTTGTTTGCAGGCTTTCCTAGACAGAGATCTCTATGCAGTTAAGAGTCATGACTGTCTAGACATTGTTTCTGATCCATTTGCAGTTTGCCTCTATATTAATTAACAGTAACCACAAAGCTATTACATATTTTAATGTGAGGACATAATTTCTTATCTTCTTTTCTCCCTTTTTTGTTGAATCTTTGAAGGCTCCTTGCTCTATTCTTGTGAAAACCAGAAAAGTTTGTGTCACCTATAGGAAAACTATTTCCTGCCCATCTTTAATAACCATTTCTGCTGTATTTCCAAAATCTAATATTTGGGATATATCTTTGTTAATTCTATGGGTATGTGAGGTTGTATATAAAAGCATAATCACCATTCTGAACAGAAGTGTTTCAGCAGTCAAATGTATCAGATGACAAATGATAAAATATACAAATTATATAATTTTTGTTTGTGAGAAAATATAAACATCACCCAAAATATGCTCACATCTCTCTATCTGCATATCTATATATGTCATGGTTTTGCCCACCAGCTCATCCCTGGGGCTGAGGATGGTTTTGTCCAAGTGATTTCCGGACAAAAAAACCAATCAAAACTTTCAGTGACGCCTTTGCTAATTACACCTTTAAGAAAACAGAAGAGAAGGTTGGGTGCACAGTTGAAATTAGGAACAGCAGCCATGTAGAAAAGTACTGGGCCCGAGGAGGGCCAAGGCCCCCTCCTCCCCCGGCTTGGGCCGGGGAGGGGCAGGTGTAGTACTGAAGCCTCCCTTCTCTTCTGTAAGAGAGTGAAGAAAAAAATGTTTAAAAGACAAACTGCTTGGACAGAAACCGCTGCAGAGAAATTCCAGTGAAGAGATAAAGGACTTTCAAGGTCAAAGCTGGCAGTCGGAGGAGAGAAAAGAAAGGTTCGAAGGGAGGAGAGCTGCTTCTTCTCCCTTTCGCTCTCCTTCCCTTCAGCAGGGAAAAGACTGAAAAATAAAATCCCTGCCACCTGTGAAAGTTTGTTGGGGTGAAGAGACCCCCATGTGGCTCACAGAGGAGCTTGTGGATGTACTAGAAATTTGTGACTTTAACAGAGAGAGAAAGCCTTATGCTGGAGCAGAAGTGGCTTAGGTAAGGCAGAGTCCTATTGAAGACTTTGTGACCCTTGAAGGGGACGATGCTTATGCCGGAGTGCGATGGCTCGGATAAGCTTGGGATCTCAGTGAGAGATCCATGCTGCTGGTGCTGGAGATTTGTGACCCTGAGAGAACCTACTCTGGAGCAGAAGACGGCTCAGGTAGGGATGTTGGGATCCATGTGTGGGATCCATGCTAGACCATGTTGGAGAGGTCTATCAAGGACTGTTCTCCCATGGGGAGGGACCTCCATAGGGAAACAGGGGTGAACTCTTAAACCATTATCCCCTGTAACCCTGGGGAAGAAGATCCATAGTAAGCAAGTGTCCCCTTGCAAGCCTATGGAAGAAAAAACCTTCAGAACCTGGGTAACCCCCAGCCTCTGGTCTTAATCCAGGAGGGGGGTAGGCCCAGCCCTGGAGGCTGACACAGAGAAGGAGAAAGAATTCCAGCTACAACGAGAGTACTGCAGAATTGCTGAGGAGACCTGGAACTCTGAGAATGGAAACAAAAACTGCTTCTCCTCCTTGGACTGATATAAAGCGGAGGGGAGGGAAGTATTTTCTGTAAATACATAGTACCTTTTACTTAAGTAGAATTGTTATAAGTATAGTTCTTTAGTTTTAACTTGTTAATAATAAATGTTCATACTTTTTTTTCCAAATTCAGTCTCTTTTTATCTGCATAAACCTTCTCTCAATTATACAATTACTGACAGTAATTGTATAAGAGGTGTAAAAACAAATTGAACCAGGGCAAAACCACGACAATATATTTACCTCTCTCTATATATATGTGTTTATATACACACAGATGTATGTTTGGATGCTATGTTGGCACTTCTATGAATACATATCTAAAGCATACTTCAGGGGTATAGAACACTTGGGTTATTATCAAAGTTTTCCACTACAAGAGTACAGTTCACCAACACACAGTCAGACAAATGTATGCTTGTAAAGTAAGGATGTGGAATTTAGGGGTGTTGGAAAGTTACATGTGTTCTGGTTATGGAAGATCTTTGTCGTTGGATTTGAAACCAAAACTGTGATGATGTGGTGGATGAAACTCAGCTGGTGTTGTCTCTGTAGTACCCCATGAGTTGTATGGGTACAGTCTTGCCATTTCAATTTTCTTTCCTTAACAAGTGCTTTTAAAAATTATGGTTATTTTTATATAATTCTTAAGAATAGCTTATTTCTGAACAGCTTTGGCAAATTGCTCTAGTGTACCTGTTTCCTCCATATACTGATGCCTGCTGAGCTTTTATCTATCTGTTTTGTCTTTCTATCTCTTCACATGTCAAGATTCATTCTTTTTGGCCACTCTTCATCAGCTTAAATCTACTATCTTCCTGAATTTGAACTATCAATATCACTCCAGGTATTTTTTTATATATAGTAAGAGATCTCAGTGTGCATATGGTAAGAATGGAATGCCAAAAATTAGATGGGTTTCATGTAACTTTATGTTGATAGCTACATTTACAGGTTTTCTTTTTTTATGCTTGGTTTCCTTTCAAAACCACAGTCTAGACGTAGTCAGATCTGCACTCAGTTCATAGAATGACATTTTGTGTAGAAGACTGATTATTGATCCATAATATAGTGGGATATTAGGGTCAGGGATTCAAGAGTTTGCATTTTTACATGCATACCACTTTTTTTTTATGGTAAGGCTGATGGTCAAGTTTGAATTTAACTATGCTCATGGATTTGCAACTGGAAAAGCTATAAATATTTTTAAATTAATACAGCATACTTTTGGGGTTTACTGAATGGTCTGCTATGGCATCTATGGTAAATCCTTCTAATGTTGATTGATTGCACAAGTAGTGGAAGCAGGATTTGGTTCTGCAGTTGACATTTTAAAGGATGAAACTCACACATGTGCTTGTGAGAAATGTCACCTGTAAAGGCATGAATTTGTTTAGAACAGTAGGTCTCATTCAGTTTTTGTTGCCTGAACACCATCCTAACGGTGTCAAATAGGCAATAACAAACAGCAGCAATAAATCTATAGCTTCATTGGATCTCACATTTAATATTAGTGAAGAATCACTGGAATACACACCACATCTTAATTCTGGTCCATCTATATGTGCTCTGCAGACCTGCAAAGGTGTTGGTCAGGAAGCTCTGTGATGACCCTAGCCAGGAAAGATAGTCAAAGCCACTGCTGAACAGCAAGCCTTGAAACAAGATGGTACACTGTTTCACTGTGTTTAAGAGCCATTTGCATTAATCCCTAAATGAAGGGCTCAAGAAGCACAGTCCTGCTAAAAAGTGACTTAAAGTAAATTAGATTAAATAGTCACTATGAGTTCCTACAACAGTGCAAAAGAAATTGCTTTGTGCATCCTATTGCCTTAGGAGTATTTCCTATTTGCAAGAAATTTGGGTTTTGCCCCTGGTGGGTCAGCTGTGTAATTTGGTGCATCACAGTTTGTTTTCCAGTCTCCAGAGTCTGCATAACGGTCTCTGAATTTTTGCTGCTGTAAGAAATTGGGGAGAGGGGAACAGGAGAAGTTCTGCTCACAGAGGCAAGAGGCTGGCAGTTATAAGGTCAGTGATATGTAGCCCCAGTGACAAGCAGGGCATTTTAGCTCCCTGAGTTAGGGCTAGTGGACCAAGAGGCTCCCACAGGGCAGGGCTGTAAAGGCTTTGCTCCAGTGGAGGCGTGAACAGTGGAGTGTAGTGGGCACCACAATCACCCCTGTGCAAGCAGAAGCTCCCACATCAGCAGGATCTCAGTCAAATCTGGAATTTGGACAGGGAAAACCATCCAGGGACATGACTCATAGTACGTAGTGTCTTCAAGGAGCTGCGTCTCATTGCCTGACTCTTGGTGAACTCCCAACTCATGGGAGTCAGAAGCCCTTAATACCAGGAAGAAAAGGTTGATGAGGCTGTGCGCTGTGCACTCTGCAGCTCTTTCTCCGCCTGCAGAAATCCATAAGCCCCTGTCCAGCACACCAGGAATGGTCAGTGGCCAGTCCTGCTGCACTAGTGCACCTTTGGTAAAGGCTGGATTCTTAATACTTGGAAACATTTTTTAATTTCTTTGTCCATTATGAGCAATACGACCCTTTAGGCCCATCTGTGAGCAGTAACAGAAGTATTGGTAATAGATGCCTTGGTGGGACAGTCTGAGAGCTCTTGACTGAAAACCAGAACTGACTAACCTTGGACTTGCATCTCATAGGGTAGGTTTGGTACAGGTGATAACTGCTCCTGATCTCATTGGCATTCTCTGTAGCTGGTTCTGCTATCTGCACCAGGCACTGCTGTTATGTCAATTATGTATTGTATGTAACATGAATTATGGTGAAGCATTTGAATTATATGATTCTATGATTTATGTACCAGGGAATATAATCACCTCTAGCTGAATTTAAAAAATGCATACAGCAGTTGATCTGAAAAAAAAAAAAATTGTGTTACCCTATTATTAAATAAAGCAAGATAGTTTTGGAAGCCAGATGCTGTGAAGAATTTTCTCTGTATTTTATATAATAGCTGTGTTTTGTAACGTTGTGTGATCATACTGCTAGCATGGACATGCCTTTCAAGTCTGTGTGTATGCAGCAGGGCATGTGTAACAATCATTACAAACAAATTTGAGCTTTGTAACTAAACTGGTACTGTCCTCTGAAGTATCAGCAGAAAGATGTTCAGCTCTGCACACTGGGACAAGTAGAGATGTCTTCTTATTTACTTTAGAGCAGAAAAACGAAGTCTGGGTGAGATTCTGGGTTTGTATTTCTAGAGAACCTTTGTCTTGGATCTCATTTTACTTCTTGTAGACAGGATGAAATAACTCTCTGAGCCTCAGTGAGGTTACTTTTGTATTTCATTTGTTCCAGTGAAATGACAATTTTCATTTAGTTAATCAGGAATACTTCTTCATTATATACTTTGAAAGGTTTCATGTATATTCTGAATGATAGCCACTTGCTTATTTCTCCAGTGTCAGACCACTTTTATCTTGAAAATTTTGTGCTTCGTTGCATAATACAAATATCTGGCTTTCTCTTTGATGCAGAATATTCTAAAGTAAATAGAGACAACAGAGATTTAACTTTAATTTTCAGTTAAAATTAAATTCCATATTTTGTTCAGGGAGAAAAAGGAAATCAAGGTTTTCAAGGACAGAAGGGATCAATAGGAATTGGCCTTCCTGGACCAAAGGTAAATCCCAGATTTTGTTTGACTCCTGTATTTTTCCTACAATGACTGAAGCCCAAGCCTGAATCTTTCCTTACTGAACAACTTTCTTGTTGGTATAAAAATTGTGAGAATTTTCTGCACTTAACTATTCACATCTAACAAATTTTGAGCAAAGAAAATTTAAATACTTCGTCTCTTTATTAGAGATTCTCAGATGTGCAGCTTCTGATGGGAGCTGCCTAACCAAACAAAACCAAGGCTCCTGGTCAAAGTGGATGTGCAGAGCAGCTCTGCTCATACACAAGTGACAGCAATGTGCCCAGGGGGAATGAGTGTTGATGTAAATGCATGATGCAGTAAACCTGCTTTAATTCACAGCATATGCCTGGAGGTGCTGGGCAGCCCCCCTACAATAACTGCAAAACAGATGAAATATTGCATTTATTATGAAGGCTCTGTCTGAAAAGGCTAAGGAAGAGAACTGACATGGTAGTATTCATGGGAGAACAGAGATGATCGTGCTCCCTAACTTTTAAGTTACCCAAAAAAGAGTTCAGTCCCCTCTCTAGTCACCTGAGGCAGGCAGTACTTATTCAGAGCACCAGCAGCCACGTGTTGCCTGCAGTAATGATGTTCATGGCAGTATGATCTACACTAGCTCACATTATATAGCACTTTCTGAGACTTATTCAAGCTACTGCAGCTTGGAGCTTTTATGCAACAGCGAATACCAAGCTCTTTCATACAGATAAAAATTTCTGCCTCCTAATTCTAGTTTCTCTCACATACCAAGCGCCACATACTATAATAATAACTGCAATATTTTTATTGATCTTTATATTCATCTTGTATATTGTTTAGTCTTTGTGGCCCAGTGTAAATCTCTCCAAATACTCACTTTTCTGTCTGTTATTAATACAGCAGACTTGTCACACATGAAAAGGAATAGTTTAGTTCAGCAGGAATTTCATATATGTGCTAAATACCAAAGGGATCAGGTTTTAGTATGTTTATGTGTAAGAGAGTAGCAGTACCACAGCAGTCAGCAGACCGCATTTGCTTTCCTATTATAATTAATGCTGACATTAACTTTGATGAGGTTAGATTCAATTCATGGACAGGTAATAGAAAGTGATATCCTTTGCTTTTGATATTATGATTTTGTGATATAGAATAGGAACTGTCTTTCAAGAGCTTACTTAGTTGAGACTGGTTTTCTTAAACCAGCTGTGGAGGAGCTACATACAATTTTCAGGTTTATACCAGCTTGAGTAAGATCCGAATCAGACTGAGAGAGTCAAAAGGGTTCCTTAAAATAGGTAACAATCACCATAGTGAAGGCTATAACACAGGAGCTACCTATGTGATTCCATTGGATGGGTAATAGTGAAAAATAATATCAAAATGGACAGTAATCTAGGTAAAGTCCTAAGCTTTAAAGTTTAATGTGAAATGTAAGCTGATTAGTAACTTCCAGAGAGAAGTAAAAAAGCTGTCCTGCACAATATCCTTCTTGAAAAAGTGTCAGTTTAAAACATAAATGTATTTACAGTATGTTTTATACCTGCATTATGTGAAAACTGTCTCATAATATTGAACCCTCCCACTTTTTGAAAATCAGGAGGTACAGTCAGTTGAGGGAAAAAGTGCAGAATTGCTTCTAAATGTGAAACTATGTATTTCCCAATGGATGTAGCAGTCCAAGCATGCCTTTGCCTTTGTTCTTTACAAGCTTGCATTTTTTCATCTGGTTTCTCTACAGAGAGTGAGTTTCAGCATATTGGCTGATCTGAGGCAGTGACATCTCTCCATAGGTCTGCATTAACATAGGTCCAGTATAAACATTGTTTTAGAGCCTGCTTTCAGATAGTCTCTCCATAATACATAAAAGATAAGCCAGACACACACACACATACACACACAAATCAGTAAATTAATCTTAAAAGCTCATCGATCCTTACCTACAGCTCTGACAATCAACAAAACTGTAGTTATGACTGAGTTTATGAGTTTAACACAGTTGATTTAAATTAGGGAGACTACGGAGATAAAGGTGATCCAGGGAGCAAAGGAGCCAAAGGAGAAATTGGAGATCCAGGACCTCCAGGACCAAAGGTAAACTACATTTTCATATTACTTAATTTTACACAATAGAAGTTAGACAAATTTGGCTTTTGTTAATTTATCTCACTGTACACATTTTCAGGGAACTTGGGGAAGAAAAGGTGAACCTGGTCTTACGGTAAGTATGTAAATGAATTCATTTAACAATTAATTAATTTGAAGCAATATGAGTTTATTTTGGGAAAATATTTAAAGGTTATGTGGTCTTACACAAGGTTGTTTATGGGACATTGCACTGCCTGCATTTTTGTAAATAAATAAATGAATAAATATTTCAGCATTCGTAAAACTAGAACACACAACAAATTAATACTCTTTTTCAGAGAGAAGAAGTTATCAGACTTATCAGTGAAATATGTGGTAAGCATTCCAGTATGGAAAAAAATTGTTCTGGTAAAATTAAAACACAGTGACTTTTGTCTTGACTGAATAGATTTTTCTCTGCATGTTTGTGTATAAGGACACCCTTGATATGAAAACGATGCTCGCTATGTTGCCAGACCTATACCTAAAGTAATTTGGTCCAGCTCTGTTTCTGTTGATCAGTATTAGTATCTAGAGATTAATTCATTAACTGAGCTTTAACTGACTGTTAATCTGATGTAAGAGTTCAATTTGTTTTTATGAAGGTGGTTTCTCATAAAATGTCTGAAATGATTGCTTTCTAGGTTGTGGTATCAAATGTAAAGTAACACCATTGGAACTAGTATTTGTCATTGACAGTTCAGAAAGTGTTGGACCAGATAACTTCAAAATTATCAAAACCTTTACGAAAACATTCATTGACAAGGTATCAGCCAACCATGCTACAACCCGCATTGGCATTATCAACTTCAGCCATAAAGTCGACTTGGTGTCTTCTCTGAAGCAATACACGACCAAAGAATACCTGAAATCAGCTGTTGACAAAATGCCCTACTTAGGAGAAGGCACATACACAGCTTCTGCGATCCAAGAAGCCATTCAGTTGTTTCAGGCAGCGCGCCCGGCAGTGAGGAAAGTGGCTGTTGTAATAACAGACGGACAAGCAGACACCCGGGATAAAATACAACTGGATAACGTAGTAAGAGAGGCCCACGCTATGAATATTGAGGTATTTGTCATTGGGATTGTTCAAAGGACTGACTCTCATTTTGATGACTTTCTGAAAGAAATGCAGCTCATTGCAACAGACCCTGATGAGGAACATGTTTACCAGATAGATGACTTCGTAACACTTTCAGGTAAAAGGAACTATTTTAGTAAGAGGAAACTTGAAATAAGCATATAAGACAGTTTGGCCTCTTTTGAATAAAGCTCACTCCTCTATTTCATGTCCTCTTTGGTCAAATGAAACCTTTCCAAATTTTTACCTCTTGCAGAAGCAATAAACCACAATGAATATCAGTTTTCTGAGCCCACGCCTCCTTTGGGGCACTCCTCTTTTGTGAGAGCTTGCATCAGCCTTCCTTCACAGTCCTTTTGTGTTTGGCCATGGTTTCATCCTAGAGAGGTGCAGATTTCCTTCCACTTTGATATAACATTTCTGTTTCTTTCCTTCTCTCTACTTCTTATGGCTGTCATCAGTCTTGAAATCCCTCCACTATCTCTTACAAGCACTCCTTCAGTTTTTTTTCTGAAATTCATAGAGAAACCTACGCTTTCATCCTGATTCTAGAGGAAAAGTGGTGAAGCCACACACAAGGGAATGGGATGTGGTAGTAAGTTTTGTGTTTCAATGTATGTGGCTTGAAAAAATCCTGTGGCCACAAGTGGAATCAGGAGAAAATCCAGAGAAAATCTATAATGACCCATGAAAAAAGCCCCATATATTGATGTAGACTAACTATAGACCAGCCCTATAAAGTACATTTTTCCTGAGAAAAATCTTATTTTGCTATGTTGATACTGTAGATGGAGTTAAGTCTGGATTTAAGGCATTAAGAAGAGAGTCCAAGCTAAGATTCTGGTCCCAGCTGGGATCAGACTTGGGGCTCTGACTCAGACTCGAGCATTCAACATAAAAATATTCTTAGTCACAGGGGGTTTTTGTGCAAATAAGTAGAAAGTGTTGCCCAGTTTTTCTTTTTCCTTCTTACATGCAAACACTTTCTTTTCTTTTCTTTTCTTTACTATATTTTTTTTTTTGCTTTCTTTTTTTTTTCCTTTGCCGTTATGCCTTCTGCTTCCTAAAGGAACTCGGTATTTTCATCGGTTTGTGGAGCCCCTGGTGGTCTAGCGGTTAAGGGCGTGGCGCTTCCCGGTCAGGGCCACTCCCGGGCAGGTGGAGCTCGTTAGCCCTTAAAGGTAACCCATCTACGTCCTGAGAACCTCGCTGCCACCGTCCAAGCTCGCTTGGCCCCGGCAGATGAACCTTAGGATTAAAGGGTGGGCTCAGTTCCGCGCACACTGTGTCTCACCTAAAAAATCCAATGCGCAGGCTGGAAGGTGTAAAGACCTTCCCCGGATCTTTGCTCGCGAAGACTGGCCATTATTATTATTTTCATCTGTTTCTTCTTAAAAGAACAACATGGCCTTAAAATCAAATAATTCAGAGAGTGTGTTACTTTGTTACTTCTCATTTGCATTTTGACATAACTACAAAACATAGTCTTTTACAAGTCACTATCATTAAAGATTTAGTATTAATACTGCACTAAAAGCTTGTGCTGAATCATTGTGACTTCTTTTGATTACCCTTAAAAAACTTAATCATTTCATTAATCTTTTCAGCACTTGAAAATAAACTGATCACAAAAATCTGTGAGAATGAGTCTGCAGACTACAGAAAATTTAATATTTCATCTCCATCTCCAAGTCTGGAATCTCGAATTGCCAGTGAAGGTACTAATAGCCAGTTATCTAAAATGACCACTTCAGAGACTGATATGCTTCCTACAGAAGGAACTCCTACAGTGAGTAAAGAAGTAACAGTTACCAAATGTTTTTAAAATACGTGTATTTATTTGAATTCAAATATTTTACCATCTTTATTTCACTACTCACTAGTCTTCTAACAGGCAAATAACATGTCAGTTAGCTAGACCAAAATATTTTAAAAAGACTTTCAAAGTTAGAGTGAACTTATTTGTTAAGAACAGACATTGATGAAAGAAAGAGGGTAATATTTCTTCTTAGTTGCAATAAATGCCAACAGTCCTCACATTTTTTTGTAGTTCTTACTCATCTCAGAAGTCAGTGAAAAATCTTATATTTCTATTGAGGCAGGTACATAGTGTATAAGACATTTATTTATGTGCAAGCTGCTTGTTAATACAATACTTCTTGTCGTGGTCACACATGTTCCAGGTTGTTTCCAGTTGTATTTCCAAGTTAATAAACCTTCAGTGTTGTTTCACTTTCCATGTTGGGCTGTGCTTCTAGGACTCCTCATTCATGTTACTCATTCATTCTCCAGCTTTACATTTCTCCTGACCTGCACTAAGGTTCTGCCCTCCAACACAGTGCTGCTGCACAGATAGACAGAACAGGTGGAGTTTTAATGCAACAGATAAATATTTTCTGCAGGTGTGAATCACCTTAGTTCCCTCTAAGGGTCTTCAGTATTTTTCAGAAACTATCGTAGTACCAGATTAGGACATTTGCCACCTTTGCAGTAGACCAGCACTAACTTTCTAAGGTGTTTTTATTGCTTTGCCTAAAAATAGTCAATGATAAAAACTGAGCTTTGCTTGCCCCTGTAACCAGTTGAATAAACTTGAAATATTTGATGTATAAACTTCTGTAGCTGCATGTAATGGATATAGTGGACCATGATACTGGTATTTAAATATTAATTGAATTGAATACGGGCTAGAGATAATTAAATATTACTAACTTACTCTGGAGGTGTCAAGGGATTAGCCACTATTAATTCTTTCTATTATTGTTTATATAATATCATAAATAATTATATTGTTCACTTTCAAAATCTGGGTTAATTTCTAAGAACAAGAGCTCCCTTGGTAGGTGTGATTGAGTTTGGTTTTGGGCTTATAAAACCTCCAGACAGATCTGTGTGATACTGAGGGTCAGTTATGACATTCTGTATCATGAAGAAAAATAAATGTAAACCTAGATTTAAAGATGCTGACTTTACAAAGCACGTGATAAGGATCACAGACAGGATTAGATTCTCACACACTTGGTTCTGGCTGGCCCTGGTTATAGTTAAATCTTCAAAACTGTTGAACTACTATCAGAAATAAACACAGTCTTTTCATAGACTTGGAGAAGAAATGCAATATTTAAAGGAAACTGCCTGCACCTTTAAATTGCACATAGACTTCAATTTTCAGAGTTCCAATGACTCTGAAGAGTTTCCTTAAACTGATTGTGTCAGTTGTGGCCTGTAAATGGAAAGATATTGAAGAGTATCAAATTCCTTTCTGTTCTCAGTAGGTAATCAACATGTCTGATTAAGGCAGTTATTTGTACTATGCTGTACTAAGATTACAAATCTTCTTGAATACATTAATCATTAGATAGGTAAATTTTTATATAAGGGTTGCAATTCGAAGTGCAGGGTTGGCTGCTTAACACTTCTATCAAGGTAAAATCTAAAATTGTAATGATTAGCAACTGACTGTTAGCTAGAAATATGAAAATAAGTGATTTTTCACTTGGTTTGATAAGGAGAAGGACAAATTTTTTGTGAGACAATATGACTAATAGGATGTGGTCCTCATAACAGGAGTTTTGGAAATTTTTGCTGTACTCAAGGGATTTCACATCTGAAAAGATCTTTGGAAGAGTGTAATGTACATGTGTTTTTCTATCAATAACAAGTATCCTGTTTCTCCTGCCAGCCATTTTCCATGTCTTGACAGATTGAAGATGTCAAATCATTCCCAGTGAGAGTACTAGATTTTAAGCAACACTGACTTACCCAAAATTCCTTCAATTTTTTGTTTTATTTATATTACAGACCAAGTGAAGACTGAAATGTTGGTTAAATTGAATGAATTCGTCTTAGTGACTAAACTGATTGCCTTACTTTGCCTTTTCATTACACTCTCAGTGTCAGAAAATTATGATTCCATACTGAGTAGTCACTAGAAGGAGGTCCAAATCAACCCGCTGTTATTCGTATTTTTTCACACGTTATTTAACAAAGGTTTCCTTAAAAATTTTATCAATTTTTTTGTTTCTCATAGCACCTGAGCCCAGACAAAATTTTAAGATTTTGACTCCTTTTGCAGAATAGTCCACCACAGTCCAGATATACTGAGCCACTGCGATCTGCTGAGGACCACAGCATGACCAGCTCTGCTCACAAAGAATCAATACTTCCCACAGTTTATGACATTTCTGAAACCAGACCTGTGCATCCAGCTGTGAATCCTTCCTTCACAGGAACTGCTACTGAAGATCTCCAGCCAACTGTGTTGCAAACACAGGTAGCAACAATCCAGAAAGGTAAGTAATAAATACTGTCCTCAAATACTACGTAGCAAGTCTGCACCAAAAAAAACCACAATGGGCAAACCCCACTCTGTCCTCCAGTACAGCTTGGATTTTGTCATTTTTGGTTGTTCTGAGTGCTCTGTCTTCAGATACCACATGCAGTCAAAGCCAGATTTTCAGACCCAGATGATACCATTGCATATCAATTGCATGCTTAGGTATTTAAACAGCAGCTTTAAATCCTTAAATCAGGATTTAAAGTAGGATTTAGGCAGTGCTACTTCAAACTGATCCTGTATTTTTTTAGTCCTGTTCAGGTAACTCATTAATAGAAATGGCATTTGGTCAGGCATTACAAGAAAGAAAAAGGAGGCACTTACTGAAGGAGGCACTTCTAAGACAACATAACTTATCCCCAGAATCCAAGCTAACTTTTACTGATTTACTTTCAGATCCAAGGTGCTTGGAACCTATGAAACCAGGGGATTGTCGGGACTATGTGGTGAAATGGTACTATGACAGGAATGGCAATTCTTGTGGCCAGTTCTGGTATGGAGGTTGTAATGGTACCAACAATAGATTTGAAACAGAAAAAGAATGTCGAGAAACCTGCGCTGACTGATGAATAAGTAAGTTGCTTCCTTTGGGTCCTCCTTCGATCACCTCTTTTCCATGTTAAAATGATTTAGTCTATTTAAAGTCTCTCAAATTATACATGCGTGTTATCTTTTATACCTTTGATCAACCTTGGAATGTTTGTCTGAAGCTTTTTGAGATGGTGAGATCAGAAGTGCAGGTGGCAGTCATGGATTTATACAAATGAGGTTTTCTAATTTGTTCTCTATTTCTTATCTTTCAGTTTCTAACATTCGTATTTGGTTTTTTGACCATTACTGATACTGAAGATGATATTTTCATAGATTATATTTCCAACACTTCATCTACAGAATGAACTGAGAATCTGTCATATTATTTGTGAATTCATGATCATTTCCCTCTTTGTGTTTCATTTTACATTTATTAAAACTCAGTTTTCCTTTTAAACTCACAGGCTATGTAGTCAACATCACAAGATCCTTCTGCAATTTCTTGCAGCCACTCATTTTCTTTACTACTTCAGAGGAATACAGTATTGTCACCAACTTTGTCACCTCTTTTTACTTCCTTCTCTAGATCACTTAAAACTATATTGAGTAGGACAGACCATAGCATCCATCCTTCAGTGATTCCTCTCCACTGACCATTTATCCTCTTTCCTTTGTTTTATTCTTTTCACCACTTAGAAAACTGTCCCTCTCAAATCAGTATAACTTTTCTTTGGGGAGGGACCTTAAGTTCTGGAAATCCAATCAGACTATAGTGACTGCCTTAGATTCACTTAGTGAGTGAAGGAGGGCCTTCAGAGTGATTGCTTACCAGTGATGCATAAATTCCTTTACAGAAGCCATGTAACTCAACCCCAATAAATTGCATTCAATACTGTATTTCAACTTTCAGAACAGAAAAACTGCAGAGCATGATTTTCAAAACTTTTCAGGAAAATGAGGCAATATCTTATATCTTCTAGCAATGACTGCTGTTGGAAGCCTTTAAAGCTGGAAGTTCATGTGTACTGAAGAAGAACTGACTGAGAAAAATCCAAAATAATGTGTTAACATGAATATATTACTACCACACTTTTTTGCTTCTCCCAGTATGGTCTGCACATTAACCAGATTACTGTATGATGTATGTTATCTGCAACACCATAGCAATAACTTACAATCACACATACACACACCTTTTCCCTCCAATTTACATTAACTTGTGCTAGTACATGTGGCAGTAATGAGATTCTATTTTCAGGATTAAAATATCAAAAGTGCTTACACTTAGCGTTTAATGACAGAGGTCTCTTAGTCTCATGGAAACATAAAATATGCTCTAGTTTTAAACAAGAGTAAGTGGTTCCTGAAATACACAGCATTTAGAGGCATAAATAATGATTTCCATTAATCAGAGCTCTTCTTGGAATGCAAATAACACAGTTATAGGTAATTAGAGGTTTGGGGGTTTTTTTCCATTATTATAGCACATTTGCATTAACATCAATATAATCTTTATATATATTATTATATATATTATTATTATTTATATATAAAACCAGGATTCCTCACGTCCTTTACACTAGTCAGTACATTTCAATTTCTCAGGATCTCCGAGTTAAAAAAAGAAGAGTTATTTAAATCTAATATATGATATTAAATTTAAAAATGGAAAGGCACTGAAAGATGCATATAAATGTTTACTTATATACTTTCTACTTTTAGCCATAATCCTATGTGAGCACCTTGCTAAAACTGAAAACGATGAACATGTGATTAAAATGGAAAGCAATACCTGATAAAAAGTCAAGCATTGTTATCGTTTTTGTTTCTTTACAAACAAAAGACTAGAATCTATACAGACAGTATGGGAAATTCTTGGTATGTTTAAATGATTCCTTGCACAGTTTTTCCCTCCAGGCAACCAAATGACAAGCATGTACCTTGCAAAATGAACTTGTCTGCAGCAGCTAGGATGCAAACCTAATTCTATAGAAATTCTGTAGAAAGTTGTGCTTGAAGCAGAGTTTAAAAAATTTTTTTCCAAAACTCTGGCCCTGTTAAGTGAGTTTTAAATTCGAAAAGAAAAAACTGACAGCAGCCCCAGAAAACATCCTGTTCTTATTATACTTAGAACTATTATGATGCTCACTCAGAAAACACCAGAGGGCACAACTAATTTCTGTGAGACATGGAACAGTAAAATTGAAAGATATCACCTTGTACTATGTGTACTATGACGATCCACTTCATTTTATACCTACCAGGAATATTTTACCTTTAGCTGCACCTGGAAACCACAGTAGCAAAGCCCACTGGAACTGCAAGGAAGTCTAGGAATCTGCAGGTTCTTTCAAATCTGTTCCAATCTTCTGTGCCTGGGCAGTTGCTCTGGGGATGGGATTAGCTGTTGTGTTCAGCTCCAGATCTCCAGACAAGGACATAGATCTGTCTAAGAAATACTGGGGATGATGAATTTGGGAATAAATACAAAGCTGTACGTTACGGGTTTGCAATATCTTTGATAATGTTTACTGAAAACCTTTCTGGTAAAGCTGACAAGCTTTAGTAAGTACAAATAGCAACATCATTTGCTACTTAACAAGGTTTTAAAAAAACCCTAACAGTTACTCTTCAACATGCATACAAGGAATCTTCTAAATGCAGGTAAACCAGTGCTATAGAGAAGACCACTCCTTTATTTTCCACTTTCATGCAGAGTTGACTAAATCCTCTAGAGCAAAGAGGAAAAAGTGAAGGCTATAAAGCTATTTAAAAGTTGTATGCTGTTCAAACCAGATTATCTTGAAATGAGCATCCTTTTCTGTTCAGATCTTTCTGTGTATCCCCAGACTTCAAACTCTGAATATATGCTCTGATATTTAGTAAACCACGAAAAAGCACATAAGTCCCTGCTGAAAGGACCTCTCTTCTCTAACTCTGCATGAGCAGCGACTGGCAGCATTGGCTCCTGTGTCCCTCACGCAGCTCTGCCTCAAGGGTGTCATGGAGGCAATAAACCAGGAGAGGGCCCTGCTTCCCAAACGTCTATTTATTCCCGAGAAGTGTAAAACCATACAGCATCATTGCTGAGAGCATTACAGTTTCCACTGGCAAACAAATCCTTTATTTATGTCACAGGCAAATTTGAAAAGCCAGAATAGTTTAATCATTAAATCCTTACATCTTCTGCTAGACCAGGCCAAATGGTATAAACCATAAAAGCTAAAAGAAGTGAATAATGTAGACTTTTCTATAGAACTGATGATTGTAAGATGAATTTTTTTTTTAGACGTCCTTGATTCTAAGAGTTCGAAAAATTCTCCGAACATTAACAGGAAAATAGTACCCCATCTGCTCATCATAGAACAGCAGCAGCTTTTCACTTTGAGAAACTGTACCAGTCTCTTGCTAACAACTATCTAAACGAATTCATCTTTTGCCTTAACCCAGTTCAGTCACTGTCTGTCCCTAGGGCTCATTCAGACTGTTTTAATAGCACTGCCTCTGCATTGACCATCCTGTGGTCTGCACTCTTCTATTTCTTCTACAACTACAGATTTCCTCTGTCAGCCTAAATTGACTGAAGGTGTGCAACATTTCCTGCACTGCAGTTTTGAGCATCCTTGGAAAACTGATTACCACGTTTCCTCATTTGGAAGTGGCTGTCAAACACATTCTTTGGAGGGAAAAAATTTTTAAAAAAGAAAAATGCTACTGATAGCATGACTGATAGCAACATCTACATTTTGAAAGAAAAAATTTATGGACTATATAGATTTATTGTAGCATTCCTGCACTTTTCTTGCACGGTTTCTTTCTTAACTTTTTTGGTACCATCAGTACGTACAGCACACCCTTCTCAAAGCCTGCAAAATACAGTTTAAAGCAAGTTCTCACAGGTAACTTGATGGATTTTTTTTTTTTTGTAAAGCAAACCAAATAACTCCTCTTCCTCCATCCCTCAGTGAATGGGCCAATGTCTTCATGGGCAGGTGTGCGTGCTGGGACACCCGAGCTCTACCTGCAAGTTAGAGCAACTTTTCTAAGTTCTCTTGATAAGAGATGCTGTAGGTCCAGCACTGAGATCTTTGACATGCCCATTACCTACTGTTATTCCTCCTGCTGCTACTTATCTATCATTATTTATAATGATTTCACTCTCCTTGGGCTGACTCGCCTGCTGGAAAGCAGTGCCACGGAAAGGGACCTGGGGGTTGAATGAGTCAGCAGTGCCCTGGCAGTCAGGAGGGTCAACTGTGTCCTGAGGGCATCAGGCAAAGCACTGTCAGTCAGTCAACACAGGGGATGGTCCCGCTCTGCTCTGCTCAAGCCTCGCCCTGAGTACTTCATGCGGTTTTGGGCACCAAAATATTAAAAAGGCATTAAGCTACTAGAGAGCATCCAGAGGAGGGCCACAAGGATGGTGAAGGGCCTTGAGGAGAAGCCATGTGAGGAGTGGCTGAGGTCACTTGGACTGTTCAGCCTGGAGGAGTCTGAAGGGAGACCTCATTGCATTCGGCAACACCCTCCGGAGAGGAAGTGGAGGGGCAGACACTGATCTCTTCGCTCTCATGACCTGTGACAGGGCTTGAAGAAATAGCATGAAGTTGTGTCAGAGAAGGTTTAAGTTGGATAGTAAAAAAAGTCCTTCACCCAGAGGGTGGTGGGGCACTGAAATAGACTGCACAGGAAAGTGATCACAACACCAAGCCTGACAGAGTTCAAGAAGCATTTGGATGATAATCTCAGGCACATGGTGTGACTCTTGGGGATGGTCCTGTGCAGGGCCAGGAGTTGGACTTGATGATCCTTGTGATCCCTTCCAACTCAGCATATTCTGTGATTCTGTGACATTTTACCTTCTTAGTTACAGAGCTTTTCCAGTTGTTGCTGAAGCTGATCTGTAGCAGAATAAGGTTTTGAAATCCCACAGGCAAATGTAAGCAGACATCTCAGCTACCATACATGATAGCTCGACAAAGAAATATAAAGTATATTTAGTTACTAATTTTTTTTACTTGAGACTGCCCTAAATAAAAGGTCTTTACTTCCAGAAGTATTATTATATCTTTTTTGTAGGTACAGAATCAGATCTAAGCCTCAGGGATAAATGAAATCCGAATTTTGAGCCAAATTCTACTTAAGTGTGACTTTTATTTTTAACCAGGAATATGTAGAAATTCAGACAAATGGGTAAGGCTCTAAAATGTAATTCATAGGCTTTATGTTTTGGCTTTCTAATGTATATAAGACCTATTTTAGAGCAATTTCTAAGACGAAAAGAGGAGAGTACATTGTCACACAACCCCTGCTTTTAGCAGGGACATATGGGCAGGGAGGGAGAAGGGAGAGTTTTGCATTTTGTTGGTTTGGCAGAAGGCATGGTTCTGGCATGGTTGACCCTGGGACACAAAGAAAACAATTTCTTACTGTAAAAATAGTGGTTAATAAGTGCTTTGACAAGACTAAATCTGGCAAGCACAAGGCTCAACATGTGAGTAAGCCCCCCAAAAGAGTTTTGGATTAGCTTTAAAATAACTCAGCTAATCCCAGATGCTGCTGGGAGTTTTTTAGCTGGTGCTCTTCTCTCAGCAGCTTAAAGCTTTCAGGGCACTTAAAAAAACCTGCCAGAGCAGTAAATAAGCAATTCACAAAAAGTCCCCTGAGTACGTCCCCTCCCATAGCAGGGATGGGGAAGAGGGGCTGCAGGGGAGAGAAATGCTCAGCACCTGGAAAGCATCAGTTCTGAGAAGGATTTCAGGGATTCTGTGGCCTGGTTGCTGCCTGCTGGCCCAGGGGTGTCTTGGCCTGGCTGAACACACAGGCATGGGTGTGGAGAGCAGGGCAGAGAGGCTGGGGACAGATTTTTCCATGCAAGGCAAATAGCTAGTAATTCTTCCGAATTACATTAATGACATAATTGGCAATTTCAGCTACTTCTTACTTCATTCAGGGCAACTCCCTAGTGCATCATGTTTTCTCAAAGGATAGCTTCTACAAGTCTTAACTACATTGCAAATTAATAGGTAAGATATATTTCTGCTGACCAGAGAGGCTGCATT